CTGGCTTGGCTCAGTGGATAGAGCATCAGCCTGCGGACTGAAGGGTCCCAGGTTTGATTCCGGCCAAGGGCACATGCCTGGGTTGCGGGCTCGATCCCCAGTAGGGGATATGCAGGAGGCAGCCAATCAATGATTCTCTCTCATCATTGATGTTTCTATTTCTCTCTGAAATCAATAAAGAAATATATTTAAAAAAAACCAAAAAAAACTTTGTGATGCTTATTCATTGGCATCTGAATAACCCTTTGTACAAACAGTAACCTCTGGTACCCTAGATACATTTCCCATGTCAACTACTGAATTTTTAGGTGTCTATTGATCCAAAAGATCTAAATAGTTTCATAAGATCATCTTTATGCATGCCAAAGATTGAACAAAGATTATAGTTACACCCACATACAGAAATCTTATCATTGTAAATAGCGTTCACAGGAATGGCGCAGCGTCACATATTAAGTAGTGAGATATTACTGAGGCATCTAAAGCAAACTCATGTGTAGGTCCTTGTAAAAAAACATCATTTAAACAACATTTCCCACAAACAATAAGAAATCCTTCACTTTAAACATCAACATATTATTTTTCTACAATATCACCTGACCTAATTTTCCTGGTAAGAGTATGAACTCTAGGGCTAGATTACCTAGGATCGAATCCAGCTCTGCTCTGAGCCAGTCACATAGCCTCCTTATGCTTCATTTGAGTCATCTGCAACCTAGAAATTAATTACTGCCCCAGCTCGTTTGGCTCAGTGGATAAAGTGTTGGCCTGTGGACTGAAGGGTCTCGGGTTCCATTCTGGTCAAGGGCACATGCCGGGGGGTTGCCGGCTTGATCCCCAGTAGGGGGCGTGCAGGAGGCAGCCGATCAATGATTCTCTCTCATCATTGATGTTTTTATCTCTCTCTCTCCCTCCCCCTTCCATTTTCAGAATAAAATCAATAAAAATATTTTTTTAAAAGTAGTAAAACACACATAACATAATGGGCATGGCTGCTATATGATGGGACTCCTTAAAAACATTACAAAATAGCCCTGGCCAGTGGTTAGAGCACAGCCCTGTGTTCCAAAGGGTCGCAGGTTCGATTCTGGGCCCTGGTTGGTTGGGGCATGTGCAGAAGGCAATTGATGTGTCTCTTGCAAATTGATGTCTCTCTCTGTCTCCCTCCCACTCTCTCTCCCTTTCACTCTCTCTAGAAATCAATGGAAAAAACATCCTTGGGTGAGGATTAACAAAACAAAAACATTACAAAATAAGTAGCAGATAAGATTTTGCAGATTGCTCTAAGTATCTTGAAATTCTCTCCTGACGTGAGCAGCATAGACCTAGATTCGCACTGCTACTGGTATATGGAAAGGCCAACAATTAAAAAATATTTCAAGTTCTCTCTAGTTTGGTTCCACCATTACTCTCTAAAAATCAAGTATAAACAGAGAGTACACACGTATAGATCTAATACCAGTGCACATGCACATTCACTGCATTGTTTCAAGTTGGGAAAACAAGATTTAGCTTTTAGTTCGGCTAGTGTGGCTCAGTGGTTGAGCATTGACCTTTGCACCAGGAGGTCACCTGTTCCATTCCAATCCCGGGTCAGGGCACATGCCCAGGCTTAATCCCCAACAGGGGGCATGCAGGAGGCAGCAGATGGATGTTGATGTTTCTCATCAATGTTTCTATTTCTCTACCTTTCTTTCCTCTCTCTCTAAAAAAACAAAAAATATATATATTTTTAAAAGATTTAGCTTTTAATGTAATGTGGCTCAGTTGGTTGGATAGTTGTCCTGTACAGCAAAAGGTTGTGTGTTCGATTCCCAGTCAGGGCATATACCTAGGTTGCAGGTTCAATTCCTGGTTGTGGGTGTATGGGAGGCAACCAATGTTTCTCTCTTTCTAAAAACCAATAAAAGCATAGCCTTGGGTGAGAATTAAAACACACACAAACCTGCCAAACTATCTTTCAAAGAGTTGCCCTATTTTCTATTTCCATTAGCAATGTGCAGGCACTGGTTTCTTCACAATCTCACCAATTTGTCTTTTTTGTTTTGGCCATGTTGGTGGGTGTATGAAAGTACTGTATTGTTGAATATGAATTTCTCTGATAACCAAGAAAGATGAAATCATATTGGCTACTTGGATGTTACCTTCTGTGGAGTGCCTGCCTGTTCAGAATCTTTTGGACCTTTCTTTATTGGGTTGTTTGCCTTTTTCTTATACTCTTTTTATCTTCTAGGTAGGTCTTTTGTGATACATGCAAGTCTCTTTTCCATTTTGTGGCTATCTTCTCATTCTTGTAACGGGGTCTTTAGATGAACAGAGTATGTTAATTTTAATTAAGCCCCTCTGACCAACTTTTCCTCTTACAGCCTAAGGCTTAATTTTCTATTTAGGAAATCCTTGCTTACTCCAAGTTCATGAAGGTATTGTTTTCTTTTTGTTTTTTAATATATTTTATTGATTTTTTACATAGAGGAAGGGAGAGAGATAGTTAGAAACATCGATGAAAGAGAAACATCAATCAACTGCCTCCTGCACACTCCCTACTGGGGATGTTCCCGCAACCAAGGTACATGCCCTTGACCGGAATCGAACCTGGGACCCTTGAGTCCGCAGGCTGACGCTCTATCCACTGAGCCAAACTGGTTAGGGCTATTGTTTTCTTTTTAAAAGCTTTATAGTTTTATATATTTTAGATTTATAATCTATTGGATAGTTGTATTTATTGTGCAAGGTAGTAGTCAAGCTTCGATTTTCCATTATAATTTTCAATAAAATTTATTGACAATACTATATTTTCCTTCATTCCACTGCTGTGCAATAAGTCACTGTCATACATAAGTGACTAAGTGTGGGTCTGTTTCAGGACTCTTAATTACATTTGTCTGTCTGTGCCAATGTCATACTATCTTAACTGCTGTTGTGGCTTTATTGTTAATTCTTGAAATCTGGTAGCCTAAAACTCTCAGGTTTTTCTTATTTAAAATTGCCTTGATTATTCCTGGCCCTGAACATCCTATATAATAAAGAGGCAATATGCAAATTGACCCTCATGTCATAACACCATCACAATATGGCGACGCGCACAGCGGGGGGCAGGGCCAGTGGCTGCTTTGTGTGGCTTCTGCCAGGGTTTCCACGACCCCGTGTGCGTGCTGCAGGGGTGGGGACCAGAGGCGGGGCATTGGGGTGGCACTCCAGGACTTGGGGCCATCCCGCAGCCTAGGGGGGTGGGGGGGTCCCAGGTCTCACGAAATCTCACGCAACGGGTCACTAGTTTTATATAATTTGAGAATCAGCTTATGAATTTCCATAAAATATCTGCTGGGATCACACTGAATCTTTTTTAAATTATGTTTTCATTGACTTTTAGAGAGAGAGGGAGAGGAATATAGAAATATTGATGGGCTGCCTTTTGCATGGCCCCCACTGGGGATCCAGTCTGCATGCAACCCAGGCATGTGCCCTGACTGGGAACTGAATCGGAAACCTCTTGGTGCTTAGGTCAATGCTCAATCACTGACCCACACCAGCTGGGCTGAATCTTTTTTGTTGTTGTTGCTAATCCTCACAGGAGGATATTTTTCCCATTGATTTTAGTTCAGTATAAGCTCAGATGTCTTACTCTTTCAGCTTTCTGTCTCAGGGCATTTTTTGATAGTTAAGGAGCCTATATGGGAAAGGTTCTGTGGAAGGTAAAGGTTTCAAGACCTTGTACAGCTAAAAATGTTTTCATTTTACTCTTAGGTTTAATAGTTTATTTGAATCCAGAATTTTAGGTTGGAAATTTCTTTCAGAATATTGAAGGCACTGCTTCTGTTGAAATTTGAAGCTACTGTTTCTGGTTTCTTGGTATTTGACCTGCCCTTTTTCTTTGGAAACATAGCAGATCTTCTCTTTGATCTGTGCCACTGACATTTCATAATAATGTGCTTTGGTATAGGTATTCTCTTTTTTCACCTAGTGTTCTTTCAATCTAGAATCTTAAGTTCTTCAGTACTGGAAAAATTTCTTGAAATACTCTGACTTGTTGCTTTTCCTTTTTGGATCTCTGGGAGATGGATATTTGGCCTCCTGGGCTGTTACTATTTTTAATACTCACCCGAGAATATTTTTCCCACTGATTTCTAGAGTGGAGTAGAAGGGAGGGCGGGGGGAAGAAACATCCACGGGAGAGACATCGATTGGCTGCCTCCTGCAACTACCCTGACTGAAGCTGGGAACCTGCAACCAAGGTGCATGCCCTTGACTGGGAATTGAACTCTCAACCCTTTGGTCCATAGGCTGATGCTCTAGCCACAGTGCAAAACCAGTCAGGGCTTTTCTTTTTTCCCCTCCAATATGTCATTTCTTTTTGTTTGATTTTCTGAGAAATTCAACTTTGTATTTTAAATTTTCTGTTGAATTATTCAGGTATGCTCTATTTTCTTAGAGCTTTTTTTGTTTTGTTTTGAAAGGTCCTTTATTTAGTACCCTACTCTTGATTCATAGTTGGTACATCTTTCTGAAGATAACATTTTTCTTGATGCTTTTATCCTGCAGTCTGTTTCCTCTAAGTTTGTTTCCTCTCCAATTGTTTTTTTTTTCTTTCATATTAGAGGCCTTCCTCAGATGTTTTATAACTCCTGGTAGCTTAATCATTTTTAATAGCATAGGACTAAAAGTAAGCTCCAGACGCATGGGGTGATGGGGGCTTGTCAACTGTGATGGTCACTGTAGAGTTATCTAGCTGGGTAGTTTAGCTAGGACACCTGATGTCAGGAGCTGTGTAGATCTTTCTAGTTGCACTGGCCGGATTGCACAGAGAAGACTCTTCCAATATTGTAGGATGGGAAGATCTGGCTGCCAGGATTCAGTGAGAGAAGGATGATACTGGTATCCAGTATATAAATATGTCCTATTTTGAGTATGGTCCCCTCCCATCTATTATATCTATCCAGCGTTCTTCAGTCCAGAGGCCCCATTTGACATACCCCAAAATAAACAGCCACACACTTACTGAATCACATGTGCATTTTTAAAGGACAATACTTTATTTGCATAACATTTATTGTTTGCATACTGCATAATGAAAAGAACAGAGTCACAAGACTCATGGTCTGGCTCAACCCTTAATTGCTGTGTGAATTGGGTCTATTAACCCTGTTAACTTCTTATTTCCCCATCTGAAAAACAGAGATGATAATACCTATTTTACAGAATTGCCAACGACCAAATGAGATAGTTATACTGTTTTTCTCTCAAGTAATTGCTCAAAATAAATCAGTAGTTTGCTATTGCTAACTCCTTGTTCATCATCTCAATGTTAACTGCCCTCAGTGAATGCATTAAGACACCAGGTGCCAATGCGACACTTTACTTTGGATACTAACAATAGCAAAAGAGACGTAAATGAAAAAATGGCCTTATTTCCTATTTTTAGAATATTGGTTTTTATAATACTTATTTATACTATCCCATGAGGAATTCAATTTCACTTAAAACTTTTTTCTTAAACCTACTCAAAATGAATACCTACATATGTGAAAAACCCAAGATTACACATGTAGTTGCTTTACAGCATCCCCTCTGGTATAGTACATGTGAATTACATATCATGGGCAGTTAAATATTCCCCCGCCCCCCCCCCACACATTAAGGGATGATAATATATATGAAGGTTAATTTCTTATGCATTATCCCTAATGTAAAAAAAATCACAGGTGTATTATACTGCTTGTCAAGAATACATACACATGGTAGTCATACCTACATACATACCTCTTCTAATAATAGTTCAACCATCATCAATATCTTCTGTATGATCCCTTACAGCTATTTGTAGTTGAAAACACAAAATTCACTTTAAGGCAATTCTGGATAATATTGTTTTATAAAATACTTGTTAAACAAAATTGCGTGTATGTATTGAACCTCCAAATACACTGCCTTTAACCCCTCTTACTACTCTTAAAAGGTAAACAAAATTTTTATACATCATAAAAAAATGTAAGCTGCTCTGCAACCCTCCTTTGCTAAAAGTTAGATAACATTACACCACTCCAGCAAGAGATTAATAAATAAGGATTAAATATTCTATTTTACAAAAACATACAGAATAGCCAATGTAAAAGTGAAAGGCTTATTTGATAATTTCTTTATAAAATTACGTTCATTAAGAAGGAATAAAACGTGATATAAAATGAGAAGACTGTCACTAAATTTATCTCCTTGAAGATAATCACATGAGTTGTTATCTAAAATATCATGACACCCTTGTTACAAACATTATTTTTTAAAAAAAGACTGGGCTTCCTGGAACTATAGGACTATTTATCTCATAGCTTTTATTAAGCAAACTTGATATAACCACCACACAGTGGCAAGAGATAAAACAGCTGTTTCCAGCTACAGAAAATATTGAATTCTACCTTAAAGTACAGATCATTTGAGATATAACCCATAACAGTTAAAGCAAATCATAGTGTAGTTTGTACTGAAGTTCCTTAAGATATTTTTGCTTTCAATGGAATATATTCATTTTCCTGTCATTTGAGATCAGTTTCTGTTGCTTAGTAACTATTTTCATGTCCAGCCAAGATGTAAAGATTGCTGTGTGCAGTAGGATTTTCTGTTGGCCTACTTTCCAAAACGACAACCCTGCAATTAAACCAAAACAAAAGTTTTGTGTAAGAGTAAAGACAGAGATTGCATGCTTCAAATACTAACATCAAACCAGGAAAGAATACCACTGTTTACATTCTCATAAGATTACATAAAGATCACAGATGCACAGTTAAGTTGAGCTTTCCATTTTATAACTTAAAAACAAAACTGAGTAAGAATTGATGAATTTATGTATATAAAGTATTGAAAACATTTCAGGAGAGTCTCATTCTCTTATTCCAACTACACTAAATTGGCTTACTCATATGCCAATGAAAGGTATAAATAGCTTTAGAAAATACACTAAGAAGAAGGGGGTGGAAGAAGGGCTGAGGATAAAACATGATTTCTATGAGACACCCATTCAAATTGTTCTTCAAGGTATTTTTTAAAAAAAGAAAAGTTTTTTAAAAAGTATAAAGTGGGGCCCAACTCCTCTGTCCATGGAACAAGGGCAAGGAAAGAGTTCAATCAAAGGACCAATAGGAAGAAAAATCAATAAAGTGCCATACCATAGGATTTACACTGTTGTTGAGGGGTTTGGAAATAGAATAAAAAATAATGTACCCATGAACAGAAAAAAAGTCTTGGAGGGGAAATTTTTCTAGTGTATGAGTTTTCTACAACTAGCATATTATTACTTTTGTAATAAAATAATAAAAAAGTAATGTGTACTTTATATTATATATTGCAGAAAAGTAGAAGGGGAAATAAAATTACCTATAACACAGCTACCCAGTTAACCATTATTATTTTTACATAAAATAAAATATATAAATCTTAAAATCAAAGAGATGCTCAAGTAAGATAAACAGGATAAGGCAATGATCTGAAGAAAAAAGTTTTTTTTAGGGCAAATTGTGACAGAATGGAGAAAGACAAAGGGAATAGTTGAAGGAGAAAGTTTGGGGTGGGAAAGGTGGAAAGAAATACATAACTAAGAGAAATGGCTTATGATGCCTACCCTCTATTAAGCATAATTCTCTCATACTATGTCTTGTTTAGGTGCTATTTACGCCAGGATTATTGGATGATCCACAATTCTTTTGTCAGCCCTTCCTGGAGAAGCAAAGAGCCTCCCATTTTAGAGTCTTTAACCAGGTGGTCCTCAAATTCGTTCTTTCTTTCCCCCCCCCAGGACTAATTACTAAGTTGCCATGCTCTCACTAGTTACCATTTTTCAAAAAATATTTTTTTCTCCTTATAAAAGTCTCCTAAAAATTTTTATGGGGTCATAACTCCACCCGCCCCTTTCCTTAAGTGTGTAATATTTAAGCAATTATTTTGTGACTAGACTGAACTTGAAGACCAGAGGTTCTCAATCCTCAACTTAGGACTAAGCATACTACTAGTCAATTTTGCTGCAATAACAATTTTTGTTGAGAAAATAGAAAGGAATGGGTGTTTATTTTATTTTTAAATTGACTCTCTATTGTTGAAAGTATTACCCATGTCCCCTTTTCCCCCCCATTGACCCCTTCTAGCTCGACCCCACCCCCTATCCCAGACCTTCACCGCCCTATTGTCTGTGTCCATGGGTTATGCATATATGCATACAAGTTCTTTGGTTGATGTAGGAATGGATGTTTTATTAGTTGTTGAGGTAGACAATATAGACTTTGGGGAACAAAAACTACTACATTTTTTCTAAGATGGCACAGTTTTGGAATTTGTCTTTAGTTTTTATCACAGAGATCCACATAATTCCTCCTAATTTAGACGGACCTCAGAAAATGAGTTGAATAGTTTCTGATATAAAAGCAGATGCCAGGGGGGTACATATTCTGTTGGATTTGTATAGTAACTAGAGGCCCAGTGCACAAATTCGTGCATGTGTGGGGTCCAGCTGCCCACCCCGATGGGCCGGGCTGGGGGGTGGGGAAGGGGCCATGGTCAGTTGGGAGGTGCCAATCAGGGCCCCGATCGGGCTGGTTGGCTGCCGCAGTGCGTGTCATAACAACTGGTTGTTCCAGTAGCTTGGCTTTTATATATATATAGATAGTTAATAGAAGGTAACATGCTAGGAAGAAATGATGAAAACAAAGGAGCCTGAAATGAATTATGTCCTGGTACCAGGGACATAAACACCTATATTAACACATTTTGTCTTGGCTGAGTATTACTATCTCTAGAATCAAGATCCTCGCACTCATAAAAGATTGATTAATCAATTGATTAAAATACTATTCTCTCTTTCAATAAAGATGCTGAGAAATCCTCTAAGACAGTGGTTCTCAACCTTCTGGCCCTTTAAATACAGTTCCTCATGTTGTGACCCAACCATAAAATTATTTTTGTTGCTACTTCATAACTGTAATGTTGCTACTGTTATGAATTGTAATGTAAATATCTGATATGCAGGATGGTCTTAGGCGACCCCTGTGAAAGGGTCGTTCGACTGCCAAAGGGATCTTGACCCACAGGTTGAGAACCACTGCTCTAAGAGTTTGTGTGACAGTATTTAAGAACACAACCACCAAACTCCTTTGATAATTAAAACAACCACACTATTTACCTGTCTGATCCTAATAAGCGGAAAACTCTTGTTTCATCTGAAATCTCTTGGGTAACCTACGAGAGAAAATACCTATTAGTAATACCTTATCCCCATATTACTTAAATAATAATTTAAAAATCATTTAGATAGAGCTTGTATTAAACAATTATAATTTCTGATAGACTCACTTCCTCCAATGAAATAAATTTCAGGAAGTATCTTTTGACAATCTATTAGTAGAAATAAAACATTTATGAAACACCCGTTATGGGTCAGGCACTTTCCCTAGAACTCTTTGTATAATTCCCGTATTACTGGAGAGGAAAAAACACGAAGACTTGCAGAGGTTAAGTAACTTGCTTAAGGTTATGTAACTGGTAGACCCAAGATTAAGACACAGGTTTGCTGGATGGCAGAGCTCCTGTTCTTTCCTGGTGTCAGAGTGCAGATTCCAGCAGAGCTGTGGTGGACACGCCCACATGCCAGGTCTAACACCAGTGTACCAGTGGTCCTCTGCTCTGTCTTCTCCAAAGCTGTAGAAGGCACTCAGTCAAGCACAGGTACTATACCAAAATGTGGGGAGTTATGCCTCTAGGGACAACCCTTAACCAAAAGGGACAGCAGTTGGTGTATAAATGCATCAGATTCCCCACCTTCAAATGAGTCAATTCTGAGGTATATTCTAAACTGTTCCTCAGTTGGCAGTACGGGATTAAACCCTGGTTGCCCATAGTGGGAACCAGTTTATTATTGTGCTCTGTATTGGCTTTTTGCCCCTCTCTACTTTCCATTCCTCACTCCATCACTTGTTTTCTGGTATCTACTCCCAAATAAACTAACTGCACTTGAGTCCTTGTCTTAACATTGAGGAAGGATCACGAGAATTCTCACTTCATATTACACAGTGTTTTACAAAGTATCATACTTTAAAAAGATATTAGCTTGTAATAACATGTAATAAATAACTTCAAAATGCAATGGGTATTTAATTTTAAAGCGTGCCTTTAACATTTATGTAAAACCTTTTTTTGTACTCTTTCAATAGAAACTTATCTGGCCACTGGTGAAAGCTAGCAATAAAACTACTGGTCCGCAATGTGTCAAGGTCAGCTTCTGGAGGAACCCAAACCACAACAGTATGGATGTAAAGTAACTATAAAAATAGTCTGTTATCAATGAATTTGTAGAGAGCTAGGAAGATAGAATTAATAAACTTAAATAAGAAAACAAATTAGGTGATTTACTAGATGGAGCTAATTTTCATATATTAAGTTTTAAAAAAATGTTCCAATCATTGTGGACTGGAATGGATGAATATTACTTTATTAATTTTACAGCAAAGCCCGAATTCAAGTGTGAGAACATAAGCAGAAAGAAAGAGGTAATCAAGATGAGTTAAAAATGGGAAATAAAATTTGTACTTGATATGGTGAACAGGTTATCTTCTATTAGATTTCTAACTAAAGGAGTGATACAATGAAATTAGCATCTGAGGACAATTAATCTTATGACAGTAAGCAGGGCTGTAGGCTTCATTAAAGCCAGGGACCTGGAGACATTTAGTGACATGGGTCAGTAACTAGCTAAACTGACATATTCAAAGATAGCGAATTTATGTCATTTTTCTCTCAGAAGTATTCTAATTCCTCATTCATATAAGTGGTGAAAATACTCAAGTACATAAGAGTGGATAAAACTACAGGTAATTCAAGAAAAAGAATTTAAGCTTTAAAATAAGCCCACATACTGGTATCTGTAAGGCCATGGTATATAAGAATTATACAGGTACTCACACAAATGGGAAATGTCTCTGTTAGTATTGTCTTAACTATTAGGATTTCTCTCTCAAGGTGGAAGCACAAGTTCCCCCTCTCCTGCATGAAATGCATCCTGAATATCTCAGCTAAAAGTGATTTTTAGAGATCCTTCAAATCCAGGCTATGTCATCTAGACAAGTTACTTAGCCCTCTGTGCCTGTAAAAATGGGGAATATGAATAGTACCTAACTCCACTGGATAATAAGCCTTAAGTAGCTAATATTTGTAAAGTGCCAGGAACATAGACATTAGAAGACTTTGAAATTATTTACAATTATACTTCCCTATGCCTTACAATGCTATAATAATAGTGTTTTGCATGTACCTGGTATTCAATAACTATTTTCTAAATGAGTTAACTTTCTTATATGTTCCTTAGTCCTGGGATCTAATACATATCAATTTAGGATTTTAAATAAAATATTAAAAAAGAAGCTATACACTTCTAAATTATGGAAAAGGCTTAATAAATTTAGAAAACTACTGCAAGGTTAGTAACAATATTTAAAAATTACAAATTAAAGGACTGAAATGTGGCCACTGAGAATTTTGCAATACAAAACTGAACTGGAAGAATAATACTGGCAATTATGCTCTGCTAGTTCACAGCATTAAAACCACTAAACATAGCGCTGGCGGGTGTGGTGCAGTTGGTTGAGCATCATACCATGCACCAAAAGGTTGCCAGTTCAATTCTCGGTCAGGGCATGTGCCTGGGTTGCAGGCTCGATCCCCAGTAGTGGGTATGTAGGAGGCAGCTGATCGGTACTTCTCTCTTACTTTGATGTTTCTCTTTCTCCCTCTCCCTTCCTATCTCTCTCAGATCAACTTAAAAAAAACATAAAAGCACTAAACATAGTAATGTAGATTCAGAAATAAAATGTATCAAATGAACATTTCAATATTAAAAATCTTTAGTGGAAATCACTGGAGGTAATCTGAGAAACCTTACCTCATCTGATTTGAAGCTTTTACCCTGCATTCCATGTTTCCAGAAAGCCAACACACTGTCTTGAAGGCATACTAAAAAAGATAAGGGGGAAGTGAAACTGAAATACAGCACAGTAGTTCATTATACATTTCCTTAACTGTTTTTAATAAATGATGCTGTAAGGCTATCCAAATGCTTGGTGCAAAATTCCACTGTCTAGAGACCACTAGTTCCCAACATTTTTGTGGCTAAGCCATGTCTAAACTCAAATAATTTACTGAGTCGGGCCACACAAGTTTAAAAAAAATTTAAAAAAAATACACACACACACACACACACACACATAATAGGCATTCATTTAAACATGGGCTAACTTCTTTTTAAATTTTTTTTTTTATTTTTCAATTACAGCTGACGTACAATATTATTAGTTTCAGTTGTACAACATAGTGATCCAACATTGGTATAACTTACAAAGAAACATAAGTTGGTATCAGTATATTAATTTTTCTTTTATATACTATCTTTTTTCTTAAGTGAATGAAATACTAAAAACATATAATTGGCTTTTTGAATAAAAAACATCGTTATTTAAATACTGTCATATAATTAGAAGTAGCTATTAAGGAAGCTTCTTTTATTTATGTTCACATTTTCCCTATTACAAAATTACTTAAAAAAACCAACCAACCAACCAACCAACCAACCAACCAACCTGTCTCACAATCCAAAATTTAACCCCACAATGAATAGTTATGCTCTCTGTGCCAATTCTTATTTGGAGTGGCTCTCAGTTACCACGCTCATTGCTGGGCCCCAGCCTCGCCTCCTCAGGCTTTGGTCTTACAGGCCCCACTGCCCACATGTGGGTTCACAAATTTGAGCCAAGCTTGACTGCTTTCCTGATGGCTATGGATTCAGGAGCAACCGTGACCCCACAGGATGGCCACAATGTGGCATGCCACAACACCCTCCTGCCCTACCCATCTCCCATGCTTCCCTGGGGTGGCCTGAAGGTCTTGAAGGGAAACCTACTCTTGCTATGCTTTGTCCATTTCTGTGTCCTGTGTGGTGCCAGCCACAGGCCTGGGCCCAATGAGGCACTCCTATGCAATGATCTAGTGGTTCAGAAACAGAGTGGGCAGCCCCCCACTTGGAGGATGCAGTGGAGCCTCTGGGTCCTTCCTGGCAGGGGGCTGGAGTCATTAAGGTGCAGCAAAAGAGGGAGAAAACCCATTTTTGATTGTTGGAAAGTTAGACATATGCCCTACACTAGTAAAGGTGATGGGAGAAAGTAATAGAAACTTACTGTATTTTTTATTAGAATACTGACTCTATAAAAAGTTAATGTAAGAATGTCTTAAAAACATAATTTTACTCAATAAAATAAAACTATTTTACTAAAAAAAAATCACACAAGTTTCACTAATTGTGATGAATATGAAACCCAGTTACCAGTTTCTTTTTAAGTGTTTAAAGGGACTCGTTTTACCCAGGAGATCCTTGTAATTATTTCAAGGTTCACTGTCGGGGAGAGATGGTAGCTTATGAGGAACAAATTTTTGTGTAACAATTAAAGTTCCCTAAAAAATTTGGCATATATGAAAAAGTTGAGGTATCAGTGTGTTTCAGTTAGAATGAAGAGAAACTATAAAGATCTCCGTCAGGATCTCTATTGGAGATACCAAAGCTTAGAAACTGGCATGCAATATCCAGGACTTAAAGAAGTAGAGGGAGAAACGAGCCCCAAAATTCCTTTTGTCCTGGCATCTACAGAAAATTTAGGCTTTCTGCCTCAATAAATTAAGATTTTTCAATCATAAGCAAATTATATTTATGTAAGATATTTACACAGAGGGATGATCATACTTTGCGACAGGGCAAAATGCCAGTTGGGAAACCATTAAAATATTTTTTTTAAAAACCTTTCTAAATAATGAGAAATATATTTTTTAAAGTATATATACATTTAATTACAAAATACAGTATTTTTCAAGGCCAAAATAAAAACTGCCAACTTTGTTTTAACTATTTTTGACTTATGGTAGAATCATATTGTGCAATGCTCAGTGTTTCCAGCCACGTTATTTTTTTCAAAAGTTCTATCATCCCTAGGGGAAATACTTACTGACATACAATCAATGAGAAATTTTTATCATAAAACCAATGAGTATTATAGAATAAAACACTCATTGACAATAAAACAAATTAAAATGGCACATTAGTTTCTAAGTGGGAAAGTATCTACTTATATAGAAACAGATCTAAAAGCAATAACCATCAACACACACCAAGCAGAATCAGACACAAAGAATTACAGGATATCTAACACCATTAATCATATCACACAAATACCTTCAGGATTTGGAAAGAATTGGGAGAAGTATAATTCACTTGAGGCAGTAAAAGGAACAATAAACAGAAATTTTAAAACGATTTCAAGTTTTAAACATATAGGAACCAACAATAAAAGATTTATTATCGTCTACACCTGCTTTGTCTAATACAATAGTAACTAGCCATATGTGGCTATTTACATTAAAATGTAAATTAATTAAAATTTAAAAAATGTAGCACTAGCCATGTTTCAAGTACTTAACAGGTGTGGTTAATGACTACTATATTTAAGAGCACAGAGAACACTTCCATATCACAGGAACTTCTAAGACACAGTGCTGGTCTAGGCAACTACAGATACAGAATGAAGGAAAAACCAAGTATTCGAATAGCATTATTAAAAAAAAAAGACTTACCTACAGATTCAATGCAAAAATCAAAAGTTAGCTCAGAGGCCAGTTTCTTACTTGACTTTAGTTTTCCTTGTAGATTTACAATTTTTACAAATTCTTAAAAAAAGAAAAAACAAGTCAAGACTGGAAATCCAAATCTGTTAAAATAAATTGAACTTGATATGTGGATTTTACATGGATATAGAACAATATTCTTAATGATGTTCAACCATTTAGATTCAAACATGCTCAGCGAGAAACTATCATTAATATGTTTTATAATATAACTATAAGAGTACCTCCTTTGGTAAATGGCAATTCCGTTGCTATTTTTTTCTTTTTTAGATGGTATATACTGAACACTTACATTCTCATTTTTAAAAAAGTACAATGTTTCTTTAAAAGTGGCTACCTTGTGCCTATATATCTAGCAGTAAGAAGTGATTTTTCCCCCCTTACAAATTACAAAACATGATAAGTATATCCGTAGTCATTTATAACTTCAGTATTGAGTACTATTGTAACAAAGGGGCAATGAGTAATACTCTTGAGGGTCACAATTTCTTTATAAGTAAACTCTGGGATAGAGATATACATAATTTTATTTCCCTTTCATCTATTTGTTTTTCACTTTAACTGTCTTAGCTCTGAGGTGGAAGACACCTTTCTCTGTACTGCTTTCTTATCTACCTAACATAATTTGTGATTTTAGGCCTATCTCCAACTGGTGTGTACTAAAACCGGTTTATACTATATAGTTGATACTAAATTTCTGAAGTCTTATATTGCTCCTTAAAAAAAAAAAAAAATCTCAAGAAAGTCAACTCTCCGTTTACTTTGAATAAATGGAGGGCTTAGTTAATCAAAGGCTTAAGTTTTTTTTTTTGAAAAATACATAAATCAACAAAATGAGACTAAGCACAATTTTTTTTTCCTTGGATGTCCCAGAAGGTATTAAGGATTTAACATTAAAGGTTCAAAATTATTAAAATCAAATTCTGATTATCTGTTTATTTGCTTAATCAATATAGACCTTTCCAGCTCTTTGGGTAAAATATAATTTATCAAATTAACTTAAATATAATTGAATAATCTCCAATCGTATCAATATTAAAAGAATCAAAGGTACTTAAAAATGATGGGTGAATGAGATACTTTTGAGTTTTGGGTTACTTATCTCTAATATTAGATTATCTTTATGATTATATAAGGTAAATCTACTAGGTAGCCTTCAGGGAATAGAAATTAGGACAGAAACACAGGCAAATTTGGTAGTACAACAATTTAAAAAATAACCCTATTCAGTAATTTAAAAAATATTAAAATGGATCAAACATAGCAAATACTGCCAAGTTTTATAATATAGCTCCAAATCTAGGTGAATTTCACCTTGCAGGATTCACTGCATAAAAATAAGGTGGGTTTGTTTGCAAAATTGAATACCTGTTGTTAAAAGTTTCTCTGACTACATTACAACATTCTTCTATCAATAATAACTCTTCCTAAATCAAAAGAACCACAACTTGATGAAGGTGTTAAATCTATCTGTACATTACAACCTCACTGACATGATTCCAAGTCATGTTATACGACTATAAATGACGATGATTATGCGCTGCATGACGATTTTGTCAACAATAGACTGCATATATGACGGTGGTTCTATAAAATTATAATGGAGTTGAAAATTTCAATTTCCTAGAGATTATTCTACACTTTTTACTGTTATTTTAGTGTACGCTTTCTACTTATAGGAAGTGATGTTTTCCATAAAGCAGCATGCTGTGTTATGTTGGCAGCTGCCACATACATCTAATATTTAGAGTGTCTCCTGATTGCATCACCTTCTCTTGTGCTTGATTTACTCTCATGCTGTACAGTACACACTGTACATGTTTGTAGCCTGGGAGCAACAGGCTACATACCATATATAATCTAGGTGTGTAGTAGGCTGTACCATCGAGGTTTGTGTAAGTGCACTCTTATGATGTTCCCATGACAGAATCACCTAACAATGCATTTTTTAGAACTGGGTATCCCCATTAAGTAGCACATGACTACATACCTTCTATTTTTTCATTAACTGAGGTATGGAAAAAACTCTCAAAACAGTTTTACAAAGAATTTTATACAGTATAGTTTTATATGGATTTTTACCCCAAAGTTATGGCAAACTGTTCTAATATAATGTTTTCAAGTAGGCCAAACAAAGAAAAAAGTCACAGAGAATAGTAATGACAAACATCAATTAATTACTATTTATGATATCTGTAGCCAATTTAGATTTTCATCAATAAAATAAGGCCACTTAAGATGAAAAAAGTAAAAAATTTTCAATTATAGCATAATAGAATCACTTAAATGAAATGACTTGTTATATCAAGTAGACTACTCAGAATAAACTTTAAAATAGTACTTACTATCTAAACACACTAAAACGGTATCCCTCTCCAACTGTGTTACATGGATGGAATCTAACTGTTGGCTGCCTTGGAGGGAAAAAAAATAAGGTTAGTTCTACAACAAGCTTTAAAAACTAGAGCTTAGAAAAGAACACAAATTCTGACCTTTTCTGTCAGAATTTCAAAGATTAAAACTAATCTTTGAAATTTAACACAAATTGGATTTTGTAACAATGTGGTATTTTTTCAAAATATGTATGTATATAGGTCAACTTAGGAGAACAAACATTAAGTTCTAAGCAAGGCTAAGTGAGCTGAGAAAAGCTCAATATTACAGGTAATTAACACTTCAGCTAGTTCTAAAAAGGTGAGTTACAAAAATAAAATGAAGCAAAGGGTAAAATACACAAAAGTAAGGTGCATGCTATACAATGATTAGATTTTGCTCTGCATTTAACAGGAACCAATGGGAAGATGGAAACAAGATCAGTTATGTAAATCACAGCATCCCTGAGATAAAAACAAGCCAGTAATTCAGAAAAAGGAAAAAATAAAATTAAAATAAAACTGTAATCAATCAGAAAAACATTTTCCTGGTGTGTGTGTGTGTGTAAGTTCCTTTTTAAAGAGGACACTTAGTAATATAATGAACATTTCTGTCAACAATATCCTGTCAGGAAGCAATTTTCATCGCTTTGCTGATATTTGCAGGGTTGTTTCTTTTAATATAAACTGACAGATATGATGGCATTTGTGTGTGTGTTTGTGTGTGTAATGGCATTTTTGGTAAAACAATTTCATTTTAGGCACTCAGATTGCTTGAATAGTCTAGCTAAATCTAAAAAAATATTTTAGATTATTTAGAGCAGTCATTCTTTTTTTAAAAAATATATTGTTATTGATTTCACAGAGGAAGAGAGAGGAAGAGAGAGAAACATCAATGATGAAAGAGAATCATTGATCGCACACCCTCTACTGGGGATTGAGCTCGCAACCTGGGCATGTGCCCTTGAACGGATTCAAACCCGGGACCGTTCAGTCCACAGGCTGATGCTCTATCCACTGTGCCAAACCAGCTAAGGCTAGGACAATCATTCTTAACTGCACTTCTTTGGGAAGCCAATGGATCCTCTCCCTTAAAAACTGCACATCTAAACGTAATTACAAATTTTTTTTTTAAAAATATATTTTATTGATTTTCTACAGAGAGGAAGGGAGAGAGATAGAGAGTTAGAAACATCGATGAGAGAGAAACATCGATCAGCTGCCTCCCGCACATCCCCCACTGGGGATGTGCCCGCAACCCAGGCACATGCCCCTGACCGGAATCGAACCCACGACCCTTCAGTCCGCAGGCCGACGCTCTATCCACTGAGCCAAACCGGCTTTGGCCGTAATTACAAAATTTTATAAATTATTTTTGGGTGTTTTTGGACCTTCCAAAGCTCATACACAGAGATGAATTCTAGTGGACAGGACTGATAAATTGTTGGTCAGTTGGTCAATAGTCCAAAACTAGTTTTTCTCAGTAAATCTATGTTCATGCATTTATTGAACAAATATTTATGGGGTGCTGACAATATTCTTGGAATAGGAGTTCATTTGAACAGTTCAACTGTTGTCCACTCAAGGCAGGGGGGTGCTTAAAAATGAACACAGCTGGGAGGTGGGTTAACAATCACTTGTGAAAACAGAAAAGCTTAATAAAGACAGCCTCTGGTTGAATGATGACCCTCAGAGTCCTGGCTCTCCTCAGGAAGCAATTTTGGTTCTGCATTAATTTTTGTCTACAAAGTGTTAATAAGTGGGTAGAACAGTATAGGCATTAGAAAACAAACAAGGGCCCTGGCTGATGTGGCTCCATTGTCTGGTGTCGCCTCATGAACTGAAAGGCTGCTGGTCAGATTCTCAGTTAGGGCACATGCCCAGGTTGCAGGCTTGATCCCCAGTAAGGGGCATGCATGAGGCGGCTGACTGATGTTTTCCTTTCATATTTATGTTTCTCTCTCTCTCTCTCTCTCTCTCTCTCTCTCTCTTCCCCCCCCCACCCCCCGCCCGCCCTCTCTTTGTAAAAATCAATAAAAAATCTTAGAAAACACCTCAAAACCTTCCCTCCCCCAAATTTCATAAGTGGACTCTGAATGTCTAACCTTCATTAGCAATGCAACCTAATATATCATATAGAAGAAAGTTGCAAGTACACATTAGATAACTGTATGAAATGACTTGCTCTATACTATTATTACATACTAACCAATAAATAAATAAGTTGGGGCTGTCTCCCAAAAGTATTTTGGTTTTTAAATAAATTGATCTATAGATAATCCTTCTTTTTGGCAGTAATTTCATAATAGGAACATATTTCTTTTTGGGCTGCTTGCATTTCATGATACTAAAACAATGTCATTTGTACCTTTCTGTTAGCTATGCTAGGAGGGTATGCATCTAACTCAACCAAAAGTACTAAACAACAAATTAAAAAGAAATGTGGGTTACAAGTGAAGGTGGGAGGGTACAGAATACATTCCTATTTTATCCTACCAGAAATTATGAGTTGTCCATAAAGAGACTGACGTAGTTCAGTGCATGCTGTAACTGGTTTATACTGGGTTGTTATATTTTCAGGACATTTGTGAGCCAGATGACACCAGGTTAGTAGTTTGAAACTGGCCATGGGCAGAGTAATTATGCCACAGAAATAGGCAACTGCTAATAACCAGGCTTCTCTGCACCCTAAGAGCCTGTTGTTAAATATTTACCAGAATATACCACTAGTTCACACTGATTCCTGTTTGAAAGTAACATTAGTGGTTCCACATTAACTTCAATTGCTGAATTGTATAAAGAATTCCTATAATTTAGCCTATAAATAATCAAAAGCTAAAGATATTTAATAAGATACATCAAACTCTGGATAGTTATAATGGACTTCTTCACAAGATGAGTCAGTAATGAAATAGTTGTAACTAAAGTTTGCCTGACTTCTTATATAAATGTCTTCATAAACCTGCAGTTACAAATGATCAAATAATACACTAGCACAACAAACAATGAGAAAAAATGAAGAACCCTTCATTTCACTTACTATGTAGATTTTAAAAATAAGTTGATTGATTTGTTCCAATTTTAAAGTTTGAATATAAACTTCCCAACTTTTTCTGAACTTCCATTGAGTCATGTTGGATAAAATCCTAAGCTAATGAATCATTCTCAGACAGTGCAAGAGGTATGTCCCTGTATCTTTAAATGGTAAAGCTTGGATGCCACACATGAAAAGCACTTGAACTCAATGATTCTAAGCAGTGCTGAGGGAAAAAGTGATAGAAAAAAAAAAGGGGGGGGAAACCTTTTTGCTTGAGAAGCTAGTAAAATTTGAAAAAGTACAGGGGTGGGCAAAAGTAGGTCCACAGTTGTTTGTATGAAAAAATACAAATAAATACACAATAATACAAGAATAAACTCTGTGTTTCACATACTCATAATTGTAAACCTACTTTTCCCCAGCCCTGTATCTCGGAAAACTTAAATCATTAAAATTTTCGTTGGTAAAATAATTTGTATCAAATTACCTCAGGCAAGTAGAGATCATAAACTGTATGTACATGATTCTCTAGGCTTACTTGGGAAACTATGATATCTGAGTGTTTATTTGACTGAACCCACATTAGTTGAAACCATTCCGTTTTTTTTCATATGCAAAAGCATCAATCTTTTAACATAAGACAAAAACACTTACCAGCACCAATTTCTGTAAACCATGATGATGCAGAATTCAAATTGATTGTCTCAAACTGAACTACCTGATTTGATTCGGTGCCTTTGCTAATAGCTACACAGACCATAGGGTATTCTTGTTCTGGTATTACCAGCATTTCAAAAACATTCAAAGGACTTGGCAGAGGAAAATCAAAGTGCTGTAAAAGTAAACCAAAAAAGTATAATTTAGAAACAATCTCTGAATAGAAGTACAATTTAGAAACAATACTGCTGCTGAATAAAGTCAATGGAAAGGCTTTCATTTTCTTGATTGATATAATTCTAAAAATAATCACCATAAGGATTATAAATATCTATAAAATATGTTTTAGAGAATTGACCACATTCATCTTCATGGCTGTGATGCCTCGGAAAGTTTATTAATGTAAGTTAAAGAGGAGGGCAACCCACTTGGGTCCCCTCCCTGCAGGAGGTAGCTTTTCTGTAATAAAACTTTGCTTTTGCTAAAAAAAAAAAAAAAAAAAAAAAAAGGCAACCTTAAGAACAAAAAACTCCTAACCCAAATAAAGACCTATCTATAAATAACTATAAACATGCCCATTCTATATAGTAATAATGGAATCTTAAAATTTTAAGTTCAGTTGCACACTAGTGTTTTCTGAAGAAAAATGTAAACAAAGTAATATATACCTTTATCAACATGAATTTCTGCATTGGCTCATACCACTGAAGTAAAACAATTCCAGACTGTAAAGCTCCACAGAGGTATTTATGTCCTGTGTAAGGGTTTCTGACTGGAAGGAAGAAAAACAGACATACCTAAAACACTGAATACCTTTCTATGAAAACATAACTGGTTTATGTCTAACCATATGCTATACACCCGAAAATAATACAAAATAATATTGAATATAAACTATAAATGAAAGAAAGATATTTAAAAAAATCATTAGCTTAGCTAAAAGCTAGACTCACCTAAAAGCTAACTCATCTTTCTTTATAAAGGCAATGCTAATATACATGGGGAAAAAACTAGGAAATGTGGCCTTCAGTGGATGGAAGAACTATTTGAAGCGATTATTTAGCTGATAAAGGAAAATTATTGTTTCTGTTCACTAGGATGATAAGAATGAGTACAAAGTAAAGACGTATTTTTTTGGGGAGGGGTTGCTACCCTTTCCTTTTCAGTTTTTTACCTCTTTATTTTATTTTTTATTTTTTTTTATTGATTAAGGTATTACATATGTGTCCTTATCCCCCCATTGCCCTCGACATTACCTCTTTATTTTAAAATTATATACATTGATTTCTAAACATCTTTAATATAGTGCATTGTTAAGCAGAGGAGCTTTTTACAAGAACAGTATTTTAAGCACTAAAACACCTAAACTAGTATGCAAGCTGAAGAGCTGCTTAAGTAAATTGACCGAAAGAGAATCCAGACAAGGTCTAGGAGGCAACTGAAGTCTATGATTTCATTTTTGGTATAGTTTACAGCTGAGTTAAAACAAGGTGAAAATAACTGTTTTACATCTTGCTAGAGATGTAACTTCTTTGACTCAAATCTATAAAAACTTATTGTCTTTCCTTCTCTGCAATTTAACTCCCATCAATAATGATTATAAAGGTAGTTATTTGCAATAAGCTCTATCTTAATGTACTAGTGTCCCCAAAACATGGACACACACTTTAACAGCTGGTATCTCAATTGATGTTTCTTTCTTTTCAGCCAGACTAAGCTTTGAACAAAGGAAATTCATCCTAAAATGCTACTGGAAATTTGAAAATGCAGGTGAAGGACAAACACTGCCTTTATACTTACTCAAAGTATGTATACATTTTTTGGGACATACATAACTCCCCCCCCCCCCAAATGTATACATACTTTAACAGCTAGCTGTTAGCTCACTTAATTTTCACTCCTTTCACTTCAAGTTTAACTGATTTGAAATAATGGGTGAAGCCAGACTAAGCTTTGAACAAAGAAAATTTATCCACTAGACTTTTTTATGGGGATAAATAAAAGATAAAGTCCATGGTACAAAACCAGCAACAGCTGACGAATTAAGGGCGCACAAAGACCGAACGAAATGATTCTTGATGTTTGTGATTCCATTGCTTTGTGTTATCAGCAGTGCCTGGACAGAATGATCGTCAGTTTGAAAACAGGTATTGAAAAAAAATTATTCATTTTTGTAGATTCTTTTAACTTTTGAAAATGAACTGTATGTTAATAAACTGACTTTATAATCATTCAAAGTGTGTATACATTTTTTGGGGGACACCCTATATTTATGAGTTTATATCTTAGGTTGTAAGCATCGAGACCTTTCTTGAGTCATGATCTGATAATAGATATGAACCTGATTCTCCTCTAGAAAAATGCGCATGAAATTTGCTTTCAACTAGATAGTATGCTTGGAACCATGTAGCATGAAGATCAATGTGTATGGCCACTAATTAAACAAAAAGAATAAACAGGAAGTTAGGAGCTTATGATCTGAAGTCATGGACTGGGTCTGATCCCAGGTTCTGTTACTTACTAGTAACATAGCAAGTATCACAGAGTGGTGTTAGGGTTAAGTAAGATAAGTATACAGTACAGAATATAACCTTATCAAACAAGGTCTGCATTCTGTTGTCCCTTCTGGGAGGTACTCTCTAAGCCTTAGGAATGTCATAACTGATAGGAGTACCTTAGTTTGCCTGGGCCCTTGGGTCACTGGATAGTCTGACAATATGATTTAGAGTGGGGGCTGGCAACACTGGAGAGTCTAAAGGGGAACTGGTCATTCCAGAAAGACAACAATGTGAGTTAAGATAGGGGCTGGATACGGAGATCAGCCTTGGGGGCAATCAATCATGCCTATGTGCTGAGGTTTGAGTAAGCTTCCCTGGTTGGAAATGCCGTGTACTGCCACGCATCACTGTCAGAAAAGTAATGCTGTCCATAACTCCTTAGGGAGGGGTCAACAGAAGCTCTACATTTGATACTTTTCCTAGACTCTGTCCCATACACTTCTTCTCTTGGCTGATTTTAATTCATATCCTTTCCCTGTAATAAACCATAACCATGAGTATAAAACCACTTTCAGTGAGTCCTTCAAGAGAATTTTTGAACATGAAGGTAATTTTAGGAAGCCCCAAATTTGCAATTGGAATAGAAATGAAGGTATTCATGTATGGACTGTTTTCTCTGATTGGCTTAACTCCAGCAATAATCTACACTAATAAAAGAGAAAAATGGTAATTGGCGTACGACGCTACCCTTTTCATTGGCTAATCAGGGCTATATGCAAATTAACTGCCAACTAAGATTGGCAGTTAACTGCCAACAAAGATGGCGGCTAATTTGCATATGTAGGCACAATGTAGGGAGGCGAAAGGGAAAGCAGGAAGAAGCCCCCTGCCACTGACAGTGATCGGAAACCCAGGGGGGAGCTAAGAGCTGGGGGGCAGGGCAAAGGTGGCCCTGGGCCATGATCGGAGAATCAGGCGCCTTTGCCACCCTGGCCAGTGATAGCAGGAAGTAGGGGTGGAGCCAGCGATGGGAGCTGGGCACGGTTGAAGCTGGCAGTCCCAGGAGCTAGGGGTCCCTTGCGTGGGCCTAAAGCGAAGCCCACGATGGCGGGGCCGCTGCAGCTGCGGGTCCCCGCTGCCTGGGCCGGACGCCTAGGCCAGAGGCGTTAGGCCTGGGCAGGGGCGGAGCCTGCAACCGCGGGGAGCTGGGGGTCCTCTGCCCAGGCCTGACACCTCTGCCGGAGGCCTCAGGCCTGGTCAAGGGGCCGATCCAGTGATTGGTGATCGGAGGGTGATGAGGATCAACTCCTCTGGCCGAGGCATCAGGCCTGGGTGGGGGGCGGAGCCGGGGATTGGGGGGATATGATGGTCCCCTTGCCCAGGCCTGAAGCCTGGGTCAGAGGTGTCAGGCTTGGGCGGGGGGTGGAGCAAGCAATCAGAGGGAGATGGGGGTCCCCTGCCCAGGCATGATTCCTGGGCCAGAGGCCTCAGGCCTGGGCAGGGGTCAGAGCCAGTGATCGGGGGGAGATGGGGGTCCCCTGTCCAAGCCTGACACCTCTGGCGGAGGCGTCAGGCCTGGGCAAGGGGCCGATCCTGCGATTGGAGGGTGATGGGGGTCAACGCCTGAGGGCTCCCAGTATGTGAGAGGGGGCAAGCTGGGCTGAGGGACACTCCCCCCCTCCCCCACACCCAGTGCACGAATTTCGTGCACCGGGCCCCTAGTAATGTTCATAAAGCACTAAGCAATAACTGTTAAATAGAAGTGTTAAGTAAATGAAAGTACGACAGTAGCAGAGATACAGCCTCAGGGACTAAGGTTAGAAAATTCTAGGCACACTATGCTCTGAGAAAACATTAGGACTACTATCTCCAAGCATTTTTATCCCATGTCCCACTCACTATACATTCTTGTGCTTCACTGGCCCCTTAATTCCTTATAAAAACAAATATAAAGCCTATCTTCCTTTCTATTTGATACTATAAGTCTTTTCAGATAAGTCTCTTCAGCATAATTTGATATTATAAGTCTAATCATCAGTTTGAGAAATTGCATTTACTCACCTATGCAACATTTGTGGCAGCCTTTTGTATCAGGAATCTTTGTAGTTAAAGCAAATTTTCTGAAAACATAAGACAATATAAATGTACTCTATTGTAATGGCTTCCAAACAGTGGTCTGTGAATCAGTTGCAACAGAACCATCAAGGAGCTTTAAATAAAACTGTCTTGGACTCTGACCCTAAAGTATGATTTTATAGGACTGAGGCAGGGCCTGGGAATCTGTATTATAAAACTTCTATAGAAACAGACTCATAGACACAGAGAGTGGACTGGCAGTTTCCAGAAGTGAACTGGGGGTTGGGGGACTTCGTAAAAGATGTGAAGGGATTAAGAAGTTCAAATTGGTAGTTACAAAATAGTCATGGGAATGTAAACTACAGCATAGGGAATATATTCAATGATATTGAGATAGCTATATATGGTGTCAGGTGGGTAGTGAAAATATCAGGGGGAACACTTTATAAAATACATGACTGTCTAACCACTATGCTATATTCCTAAAACCAAAACAAAATAATATTAAAAGTAAACTGTGAGTGAAAATTTAAAATAAAATAAGATGCACTAAAAATACTTCCATAGGGGAATTCTCATGAAAATACAGATCTTTCAAAATCAAGACAAAACGTTTTTCAGTGGGCAAAGAATAATGGCTGTTTTAAAAATAAACACCAATTTCCTTCTCTCCCAGAATAATAAAAATATTTTGTACCTTGGTAGTATGCGGTCTGGAAACCTATGAGTTTGAATATGAGCAGCTAATCCTAGTTTTTTGGCTTGTTCAAACAAAGCTATAAGATTATGAGAGTAGAGCTGAAAGCTTTTTCCTATAAAAGAGAAACATGTTATTTTTATTAGAATCATTTACAAAAGAAAAAATGTAATTTTCAAGCAAAAAAACCCCAAAAAACATAATTACCTTCTAAAATGAGGAGTCCAGAAATGTTCAAAAAGCCAACCAATATAGAAAAACACATACAAACAAACAAACAAACAAATAAAAAACCCAGTTAATACTATTTTGAAAGATAATAGGTAAAGTTAGTTTTAAGAAAGTAGGCAATTGTGTTTCTTAATACACAAATTAGGAATATTCTGACTAGTAGGTGACCTGGGTAGAATATACATAATCTTTAATGAAGTCAGCATAGAAAGAACATTGCTGAACATCTTTGTACAATGGATTAAGTTACAATGATGTGCATTAGATTATTTTAGTATAACATGGAAAATTCTATAAAACTATGTTACGTTATTTTCTGGGATAGAGATATTTATTAATAATTTATCAAAACACCTGGGATTAAAACTGACTGTGAATGACATCTTTATAAGAGACTGAAATAGTGAGACAAGTAAAGCAAACTAATATTATATGCCATAAAATAAGGATAACAGTGATTACTATATAAACATGATAGGAAATAATAGCATTATTTCCATATAATCAAAATCATAGCTGTCTTAGCATGGAGGCATATGGTAAACATCTCATTCCTTGCTATACACGGTATCTACATATATAAAAAGACAGTGACCAGAACACCGGAACGACTGGCCAACTGGCCCAATCAGGGGTGGGCGGCTTGCCAACCTCCAGCACCCCCTCCCCCTGGCTGGCCATGCCCCCGACCAACCCCCCCCCCCCCATCAGCCCTGGGCCCCTCTCCACAACCAGCCTCGATCGGGGCAGGCCGTCTGGACTCCACCCATACATGAGTTCATGCACTGGGCCTCTAGTGGTATTATAAGAACATAAAACAGTATTTATCATTTTAACATTAGAAAACTTTATATATACATAAACACACAGGGTGAGGCAAAAGGTTAACAGTTGTATGTAAAGTAATTTCTTATTACTAATTATTAGTTATTAATCATTATATTTCTTATACTAAACACTGTAAACCTACTTTTGCCCCACCATGTATGTATGTACATATGTGTGTGGAGAGTGTGTGCGCTAGTCTCATCCTCAACAAAATTCTCTATAGTTTTTTAGCATAGAAACATTCTGCCTAACATTGCACCACCCTTCTTTTCTCCATTATCCCTATATACTATGTAACTAGGTAGGCAGCTAAACACACAAGTATATGTATGTATGCACATCCACACAAACGCAGACCCTTAAACAGAACAATATTTTCTCCTATTAATTCATTCTGTTTTATGGGTCATTTCAACTATAACATGGAAAGAACTAATTTATAGGATAACTTTCCCCTATTTTCCTTAGGCATTTTATAAATATATAAGATGTACCTATGTGGTTTTTAAGCTTATTTCCAAGACAGGCATGAGTAGATATAAAAGAAGTAAGTGTTAGAGGAAAGTGATCTTATATGTATATAATTCAAAATTGTAAATTAACTGAAACAATTGTGTTTAAGTTTATTTTCATCATCATTATAATAAATTAATTATTTTGTTAAAAGAATATAAAATTTTTGGGAAACATAATTTAAATCAAAGAGATTAAATACTCTTTCGAGGACCCCACTTATGCACAATCAAATAATATGCTCTTCGTAAATACTGTCATTAGCTTACATATAAACTATATATAAACTATATATAAACTCCTTAAGAATGTCTAATTAGGTGATGGTTAGTGGAAGAATTTAAGTTACACATCCACACTTAAAATTATGAAATTAAGTTACACATCCACACTTAAAATTATGAAAATAACATTTCTTAAATTAGGCCACAGTTCATAATGCTCTACCTATCAACAAGAATGTATATCAGCACTGATGCTTTAAGCAAAAGTAGCTGGAAGGTACACTTAATACGGATGTATCTGACAGTACAGTAAATAGAGCAGGGATAGAATCCTCACATGATCCACTGATACACAGCACAATAGAATATCAAACAAAAAGAATTTTTTAAATTTTTTAAATACTAAAATTATTTAATTATTCAAAGCAGAGAAAGGGGTGAAAGCTATTTTAATAGTTAATAGTATTAGGATTAATTAAGGAACAGAGAAATAATTATCTTGTACTCTACTATCAAAATAAAAGCAAGCAGCAAATCTCTAGGTAGCCTATTAAATCTAAATGTAAAAGAAAATAGGTTTTTGCCCTAACCGGTTTGGCTCAGTGGATAGACTGTCAGCCTGTGGCCTGAAGGGTCCCACGTTCGATTCCAGTCAAGGGCATGTACCTTGGTTGCAGGCATTTCCCCAGTAGGGGTTGTGCAGGAGGCAGCTGATCGATGTTTCTCTCTCATCGATGTTTCTAACTCTCTATCCCTCTCCCTTCCTCTCTGTAAAAAAATCAATAAAATATATATTTTTTAAAAAAATAGGTTTTTGTAGGTAAGAATGGAAAAAAAAAAAAGCCTAAAATACCACCCATGAACCTGTTCCCAACAACAACCAAAAAAAGAAAAACACAAAAACAAAATTAGAATAGGTTGCTCTGGAACCCACTTGTTTATAAGACTTTAAAGCATTGGTCTAAGATAATTAATATGTGGCCCAGAATAACATGAATTCTACCAGGAAACATCTGTTGAAGTCTTCACAGTTCATCAAGCACTCTGGGTATTATCTCATCCAATCCTCACAGCAACCTGAGGTGTTACTGTTACCACCATGACCATCATTCTCATGTACAATTAAGAAAACTAAACCTGAGAGAGACTTGCTCAAGATAACAGAGAAGAAAGCATCTCTGATTCTTTCCCTTCAACTATTAATTCTCAACAGAAGGCAGGAATAATAGTGACAGTGGAGGTGGATGGGTGGAAGGGCATGGCCTCAGGTAACAATCACTGTGCTATTTATCTGATGCTGAGATCCTGGGCAGATTTGGGAAGTGCTACCTTAACAGAAGATAGGGTCCCTTCTCAAAGTTTCTTCCCATTCTAAGTTGGTAAAAAACATTTGCAGGTCTTAAAGGTACCATACTAGATTATACACAGAATAACAAATAACATTTTTAAATAATGCATATTAAAATTATATTTCTCTGCTTGTCTATGATTTATTTTTTACATTATGATTATCATATACATACCTGATAATGACATTAAAGTATTATTGATGACATAGAGCCAAGTACATTTCCTTGGAAATAACTATAAAAAAAAAAAAGAAAGAGAGAAGATAGTTAAAACTCTCCAATTTTCATCTTCTTACCTCTTAACCTCCAAATTCCAAAAGTCTGAAATAGTATAAAAATAACTATTTTCTACATTTCAGTAAATTACCAAAATCATACCGAAAAAAGCTTTCTAAGCTATACTATCTAATAATAGACAAACATGGTAATTAATCGTAACTTCGCTACCCTTCCCATTGGCTAATCAGGGCGATATGCAAATTACCTGCCAACCAAGATGGCGGCCAGCAGCCAGGCAACGGAAGCGAACAGGAGGCTTGCTTGCTCCAGTGATGGAGGAAGCCAACGTTCCCCGACTGCTGCTGCCGGCCTTTGAGCTGCACTCTCAGAAACAAGGTTGCAATTATAGAAGCTAAACAAGCTCCAGATACCTGCTTTCAGCCAGCTTCAGCCTCAGAGCTTAGAGCGGCAGTGATGGTAACAATGTTTCAATTATAGAAGCTAAACAAACCCAGAAACCTGCTTTCAGCCAGCCGCAGCCTCAGAGCTGGAGCCGGGCCTCAGAGCTGGAGCTGGCTCTCAGCTCCAGTGAAAGCTATAGAAGGTAAATAAATCCCAGAATAAAAAAAACAAAACAAAACAAAAAACAGAAAAAAAGGAGAGGCTGGGAGCTTCAGTTGCCCGCCAGCCTGAAAACGGCCCTCAGCCCCTCACCCAGACTGGCCAGGCAACCCAGTGGGGACCCCCAACCTGAAGGGGGTGTGACCAGCTGCAAACAGCCATCATCCCTTCACCCAGGCTGGCCAGGCACCCAAGCGGGACTTCCACCCTGATCCGGGACACCCTTCAGGGCAAACCAGCCGGCCTCCAACCGTGCACCAGGCCTCTATCCTATATAGTAAAAGGGTAATATGCAAACTGACCCTAATAGCAGAAAGACTGGGAATGACTGGTCACTATGACACATACTGACCACGAGGGGGCAGACGCTCAATGCAGGAGCTGCCCTCTGGTGGTTAGTGCGCTCCCACATGGAGGAGCTCTGCTCAGCCACAAGCCAGGCTGACAGCTGCCATTACAGAGGTGGTGGTGGGAGCCTCTCCTGCCTCCTCAGCAGCGCTAAGGATGTCCGACTGCAGTTTTGGCAAGTGGACATCCCCCAAGGGCTGCCGGGCTGCCAGAGGGATGTCTGATTGCCATCTTAGGCCCAATCCCCCGGGGAGCGGGCCTAAGCCAGCAGGTGGTCATCCACTGAGGCTTCCCAGACTGGGAGAGGGCACAGGCCGGGCTGAGGGAACTCCTCTCCCCCCCAAGTGCATGAATTTTTGTGCATTGGGCCTCTAGTATATTATAAAAGCCTAATATGAAAATTGATCATCACACCATCACGCAAAGATGGCCACCCCCATGTGGTCAAAAGATGGCCGCCCCCATATGGTCAAGAGGCTGGCAGGGGGCCTGTTGTGGGTGACCAGGCTAGCAGGGGAGGGCAGTTAGGGGTGACCAGGTCGGCAGGGGAGGGCAGTTGGGGGCAACTGGGCCTGCAGGGAAGGGCAGTTAGGGGTGAATGGGCTGACAGGGGAGGGCATTTAGGGGCAACCAGGTCGGCAGGGGAAGACAGTTGGGGCGACCGGGTTGGGAGGGGAGGGCAGTTGGGGGCAACCGGGCCAGCAGGAGAGGGCAGTTGGGGCGACTGGGCTGGAAGGGGAGGGCAGATAGGGGCGACCGAGCTGGCAGGGGAGGGAAGTTGGGGGGACCAGGCCTGCAGAGGAGGGCAGTTAAGGGTGACCAGGCCAGTAGGGGAGGGCAATTAGGGGCGACCAGGCTGGCAGGGGAGGGCAGATAGGGGCGACCAAACTGGCAGGGGAGGGAAGTTGGAGACAATCGGGCCAGCAAGGGAGCAGTTAGGTGTCAATCAGGCTGGCAGGGGGGTGGTTAGGGAGTGATCAGGCTGGAAGGCAGAAGCAGTTAGGGGCAATCAGGCAGGCAGGCAGGTGAGCGGTTTGGAGCCAGCAGTCCTGGATTGTGAGAGGGATGTCCGACTGTCGGTCCCTGTGGGCCTAAACCATCAGTTGGACATCCCCTGAGCCCTGAGGGGTCCCAGATTGCAGGTTGGGCTGAGGCCCCCCCGCCCCCCCAGTGCACGAATTTCATGCACCAGGCCTGTAGTATATATATATATGTGTGTGTGTGTATAATTTCACTTCTTTAAATATTTAAATCATAAACATTAAAACTGGGGCCCATATAAATTGATTTGAAATTAAGATATTTCTTTTGCTCAATTTACTCAACTCTTCTTGAGTTAAAACTCCTGAATTACCTGTTCCATTGTTGCCTCATGTAGCTCATTGAGATTCAATGTGTAAATACCGTCTTCAGTTCCAAAAATAATGTACTGATCTAAAATAGTTGAGATAAACCACCAGAATTTACTATCAGTTTCTGAAATCACTCATTAAAATAATGGCTCTATTTTTTTAATGGTACTAAGAGTCAGACAGCCACACACCCATCCAAAGAAAAATTATTTTTTAAAATCCATGCCACCTTCTTTAACTTTCTCCAATTCTATTCTTATTTTTAAAAGCAGATATATGCGCTATTACTAACTCACTCTGGCTTTATCTATACATCCTTTTTTCAACATAATAATTTTCGTACCTTAAGCTTTTTTTATTATTAGCTATATATTTTTTACCAGACATCTCAAATACTCTTTGAACAAGGAAACTACAAATTAAATAGAAATTATAAATTATGACACATCAGAAATCATGAGCATACCCAGTATACAAACTGTGGTTTCTAAATATTATTTTCAATTTTAAAAATAAGGATTCTAATCCTGGGCAAGGAAAGTATAAGATTAGTTTAGAAATCTTGCTGTTTCAGAAAGTAAGGAAGTGCTCAAAAAATGATGAGACATATCAAACAAAAAAACACAGGAGCTCCCACTGCTCAAAAATTCTGACAATTTAAAGGCTACAATAAATATTAAAAGTGGCCAAAACTGGTTTGGCTCAGTGGATAGAGCGTCGGCCTGTGGACTGAAGGGTCTCAGGTTCGATTCCGGTCAAGGGCATGTACCTGGGTTGCGGGCACATCCCCAGTAGGAGATGTGCAGGAGGCAGCTGATCGATGTTTCTCTCTCATCGATGTTTCTAACTCTCTTTCTCTCTCCCTTCCTCTATGTAAAAAATCAATAAAATATATTTTAAAAAAATATTAAAAGTGATAGATCATACCTTACTGAATAAAAAAAAGAATTCATACATTCAAATTGGTAAAAATACTTGAATGAATGGTAAAGAAGGGAAAATTACTGTGTCAATAGATATCAATGGATTGTCACCAATGGATGCTAAAACTAGTTGGTGAAAAGTCTGATGAGCAAGAGGATATTTATATAGTTTTAATGTATCTCCACACTTATTATCAATTAGTTTGGGAAAATAAGTACTTCTTTATTAGAAAGGAAAAAACAGTAATTTGACCGTAGAGAACCTAGCTAGTGAACATTGCCTAAAACAACTGGTCAATGTTAATGTCACTAGTATTTGTTGAGCTGATGTGTGCCTCCTGCTATATGCACTGAGATGAGCACAATAACACTTTTGTGATATTCCTGCCAAAAATGCATAACCTGATCTAAACATGAAGACTCACCCAAATTAAAGGACATTACTAAGTAGCTTCAAAAATGTCAAGATCAAGAGAGAGATGGAAAGCTTGATAAACTGTTCCAGACTAATAACATAGACTAAAGCGACATGATAGCTGTCACATGTGACCTTGAATTTTGAATGGGGGGTGGGGAAAGGGCAGAAATGATAGAAGATATTATTGGGGTAATTAATAAAAGTTAAATATGCATTATGGATTAAAAAATAGTATTATATCACTGATAAATTTCCTATCTTTATAATTATGCTGTGGTTATGTAAGAGATGATTCTTGTTCCTAAGAAATATAGGGAAATTTAAGGGGAAGAGAGCATGATGTGTTCAAGTTATTCTCAATTGATTCAGAAAAAAAACACACATATAGGGAACAGTAAAACAAATGGGGCAAAATAGAAACAACAAATGATTCTGAGTTTCTTGCACTATTTTTCTAATTTTTCTGTAAGTTTGAAATTATATCAAAATTTAAATTTATAAACACATACACAAAAAATAAATTTCCTTACTGTTAAAAATACTTTGTTATATTTTGTAATAATGACATTTAAAGCAGATAATTATATGATATGACCTGTTTTATTACTGTGTTGAAATAGAAACAAACATTTCCTAAACACCCTCTATTACCTAATTTCTGTTTGCTAATTACCAGACACCCAGGTGGGCTCTGCTTCCTTGCAACAAGGTGAGCTATAGTAACAGCTGTTATAAATGATCATACTGAGAACCAAAGTATCTTTCCCAAGTCACACAGTAATGACAAAGCAGGGATTCAAATCCAGATCTGTTTGATTCCAAATTTTTGCCTCTACATATTATGCTTTCTCACTTTAAAAATGTAGTCTAAATTTTTAAAAATAAAATTTGTCAGTATTTCACACTTGCAGAAAAGTTGTAATAGTACAAAGAATTCCTGAATGTCCTTCACACAAGATCCCACATCTGTTAACATTTACTACTTTGGCTTTATCCTTCTTTCTCTTTGCATAAACACATTTTTTGCTGAACTTTTTTTTTTTTTTTTTGCTTCAGATAAGTTACAAGCCTAATACCCTTTTTGCTCCTAAGTATTTCGGTATGCATTTCTTAAAGAAAAAGAACAACTTCTTATATAATCACAGTACAATGATCAAAATCAGAAAATTAACAGTGAAATTATATTGAGATTATCAGCTGTCCAAGCATTGTCTTTTTACATAAAAGAAAATCCCAAAGTATGATTGTAATCAGTTGTGATGTCTCTTTGGTCTCCCTTAATCAGGAATAGTTCCTGTATACTTTATATAATCCTATCTAATAATAGACAAACATGGTAATTGACTGTACCTTCGCTACACCTCCCACTGGCTAATCAGCATGATATGCAAATTAAATGCTAACAAAGATGGTGGCTAATTTGCATATACCGGCTGGGAGCAAAGTCTGAAGACACCGTAAAAGGAAGCCAAGCAACGGAGCCGAGGTAGCGGAGACGGGCAGGGTAGGAGTCGCAGAGAAGGGCGGGGTAGGAGCTGCAGAGACAGGCAGGGTAGGAGTCCCAGAGACGGGCGGGGTAGAGCCACAGGGATGGGTGGGGTAGGAGCTGCAGAGACAGGAGCAAAGCCCTATTCTTGCAGGAATCCTCCTGCAACAGGCCTCTAGTCCTGTCTAATAAAGACAGAATATGCAAATTGACCATCACTTCATGACAAAGATGGAGGCGCCTGCAGCCAATAAGGAGGGAATATGCAAATTAACACAACAAAGATGGTGGCGGCCGGCCTGGAGTGAAGGAGGGAGGTGGCTCCAGGCCCCGGAGCGAAGGTGGGAGCCAGCAGCCAGAGTGAAGGCCTGGGTCCTGGGTGCTGGAGGGAAACCAGTGCCAGCAGCCAGGGGAAGGAAGGCCTATTCTTGCATGAATCTTTGGGCATTGGGCCTCTAGTATATAAATAAATTGATTTCAGAGAGGAAGGGATAGGGAGAGAGAGATAAGAAACAACAATGAAAGAAATCATTGATTAACTGGCTGCCTCCTTCATACCCCACACTGGGGATTGAGCCCACAACTTGGGCAAGTGCCCTGACCGGGAATCAAACCATAACCTCCTGGTTCATAGGTTAATGCTCAACCACTGAGCCATGCAGGCTGGATCAGTTCCTGTACATATACTCTTACATTCTAATGCTTTAAATAAAAAAGTCTATTAACCTACTTAAGTGTTGCAGGTACCTACACTAATATCTAAGTCATATTTTTTGTTGTTGTTAATCCTTATCGGAGGATATTTTTCCATTGCTCTTTAGAGAGAGTGGAAGGGAGTGGAAGAGACTCAGAGAGAGAAACATCGATGTGAGAGAGAGACACATCGATTGGTTGCCTCCCACACGCACCCCAACCAGGGCCGGGATGGAGCCTGCAATCAAGGTTTGTGTCCTTGACCAAAATCGAACCAGGAACTCGTCTAGTCTGCTGCTCTATCCACTAAGCTAAACCACCTAGGCTCTAAGTGATATTTTAAAGTAACAACCTCAGTTCACTGATCATAAAGATCCTTTCCCATAACAAGTATTTTATTGGAGATGTACATAAAAGTTCAGAAATTTTACCTTTTGTATCTGGATGTATCCAGGATGTTGCACAATTAATTTTCAAAGGGCAGCCATCAAAAACTTTGGAAAAACATGCTCCCATCTTATTTATAAAGAAAAAAAATGTTGACTTATTTGATTAAATAATTTTGTATATTCTTAGAAAATGGCTAAGATTATTATGAAATATTAAACTGACTCTTATTTACGTACACTTATAGCTTCATTACAAAACAAAATTCACATTTCTGTTATTTAACCCCTTCTACCAATAGTGTCTCATAATCCTTCCTGTGTAATCCATATTTTAGGGCAAAAATATCAAATTTGTCAACACATCTACTCATGTTAATGATATCCTAGGAATTTTAAGTCACTTCTTATTTTTAGGACTAACATTTAATAATGTGAAACAATGGATGATTTTACTGAGTAATGCTACCTTGGTTATAATTGTGCTATAACTCTTTAATAGACTAATATTTATACTATATGTTAGACTTTTACTAAATAAAAAAGTACAATTTATAAAGCATCCTATTCATATGATAGGTTCTACTGAAAGACCCAAGAACAAGCATTAACAAAAGTGTCCCTGTTTTTTTTTGTTGTGCACAGTTCAACATGAAAATAGCTTCATATGTAGAAAAATATTTAACCCATATAATGAAGAGGACACAATACCACTAATATCATCACATTAGAATTAAATTGGCCTTTATAGGCTAATCTGACCCCATCAGCCCATATTTATAAAAAAGTGAAACTCTCCAAATTCTATCCAACTCACTCAAATTAGGGTATATAGTATACCCAAATACATTTAATTCCTTTGTATTTTATAAAACTTTCCATTCAATGGCTTGATAAACAATCTGCTGCTGCTTCTAAAGAGATAAAAATTGGTAAGTAATTCACATAAAAATATTCCTTACCAGCACTTTTGGGGTGGGTGGGAGGCCATTGATGACTGGTTTCTTTGGTAAAAAAAAAAAAAAAAAAATCATTAATACTGTAAGACCTCTTAAGCCTTTTTTCAAGCCTTAAAAAAACGTTATACATCTTGAAATTTAGTTATTTAAATTCTTAAATTTAATAGACTATGCCCCTTATATGATAAATACAGCATTAGTTACAACTAATAACCAAGTAAGTGCCTGTTATACCTACAGGGAACTCTCGCTTGTCCTTTTTTCGTGGGAGTTGTGGTGCTTGTGCTGATCCTTCTGTATTTTCGCTAATCAGTTTTGAAATACCATCACCATTTCCTAAAGAGAATCATGTGTAAAAGTTGAAGAACCATACAAATAAGTACTTTCCTTGAAAAACAACTTTCCCTTTCCCCCACTACTTGTTTTTCAGTTTTACAGTCTACATTCAGGTGTACAGCATAGTGGTTAAACAAGTATATACTTTACAAAGTGATCGCCCCACTCCCCCATATCTCAAGTACCCACTTGGCACCATACTTGGTTATTATAGTATTACTGACAATATTCTTTATGCTGTATTTTATATTCCTGTGACTATTTCATAACCAGCAATTTGTACTTCTTCATCCCTTCGCCTTTTTCATCCAGCCTTCCAAATCACTCCTCCCCTCTGGCAACCATCAGTCTGCTCTCTATATCAATGAACCTGTTTTTGTTTGTTCATTTGTTTTTTACTTTAGATTACATATATAAGTGAAATTATATGGTATTTGTCTTTCTCCAATTTATTTCGCTTAGCATGATATTGGGTAGTCCTTTATTGGGAAATATTCTCCGCCAGACAAGATAAGGTATCTTTCGTGCCTTTCTCTGGATTCTATACAGGTAGCATAGCATCTTTAGCAGTGATCTACATGCATGAAAACAACAAATGTCTTTTCATGTGAGAAAAATGAAATCTGACCAATTTATACTGATATTCAAGGCCTTTCATAATTGAACTTCATTCTATCTTTTTGGTCCAATCTCCCAGTACATACCCTTTAAAAGCTCACACTTCTACCATATTAGACTGTATTTCCAACACATTCAAATTTTCCTGCTTCAATGCTTTTGTTCATTCTTTCTTGTTCTCTAAGAATGCCTGCCAGCACTGGCTCCACCTACTGAAGGCTCCCCAAGCCCTTAAATACTTTGCAAGGGCCCATTTCTTCTCCCTTATCCTGATCTCTCTCAGATATCTCTCATCCTCTATTACATATAGTTAATTATTGTAGAAGACACTTATACAAACTGTCTCGTCTAATGTTATGTGTACATAGGTATAACTTCTACTATAGATCCTGAACTTCTGGATGGCAGAACATCCATTCATCTTTGTAGATCCTGCAATATTTAGTGAGGAATCAAATTAGGGTTGAGTTGGGCTGAATCTATGTATAGCCCATCCATGTGGAATTTTAAAGAAATTTCACAGAGATTTAAAGACTAATAAAACTGACTAAAGAAAAAAAGACATTCTTTAAAACATGATCAAAATGGCTTTCTTTTCCATTTTCACTTTCATTTATTTGCCCAGATCATAATATCTAGCTGTATGTACTCCAGGGCTGCCAATACTGCTAGCCATACCAATAGAGGAAGTCTCAGCTACAGGAACACAACTTGGGCTACTCTGTCTTCTGAGAACTTGGGGAGCTCTGTTCTCTGAGTCAGGGCAACGTTTTATAGTTGATGATTTTTCTTCATCTAGGAGGTTGTCTTCAGGGTAACTGTTTATTCTTGGCTAGTGATAATAAGATACAAAAGTACTTTAATAAATTTGAATATAAAACAGTAACACTTCATTATCATTATGTATCAAAGACTTTAGGGGGAGGAGGACATGCATATTTTTCTTTCTTAGAGTTCAATTCACTTTGCTAAATAATAAGCAAAGTAAGCAAGAGTTGAGTTACTATCTCAACATAGCCATAAATTTGCCATGTGATTTTTAATCAACCATAGCCTAAAGTTGATAAAATTTTTATAACTAATAAAATTGTGTAAATAAGGCATAAAATATTTAATATCTAGAAACAGCAAGAAAATGACTTAATGAAGTATGACTCTACTGAAATGTCAAATTGTAGTAATAAAGCAGGAATGTAAATAATGATTCCTCTCCATGCAGCCAAGTATTTTTTCAAATGAGTAATAACCTATTTTTGCCTTTTTCTAATAGCTATTAAAATCTTATATTTCTTATGAAATCTTTAATATATACTTTATATCTCCATACCACCTCTCAAACAAAACTGCATCTAAAATATATTTAAAAGAATTCTGAACAAATTTAATAACATTATTTAAACATTTTAATTACTTTCTTATTTAAACAAGGATTTATTATTTAAAATCTACCAACAGAGCTCACCTTAGGAGGAAGGGGAGGTGGTATTGACCGTTTTGAGGTTGATCTAATATGAAAAAAAAATGCAATTTAGATGATGATAAATTATCATAACATAGATACACTATTAAATGTGCATTAGGGGATAGAAAAGACAATTAGATCATGGTACACAGTATTTTAGAAATCTGTAAGAAAATCTAAGATCTAATTCTGTCAAACTGTATTAGTATAATGAAAAAATAGAGATTTTTATACACCGAATAAAAGGCTTTTTTACTTTATAGTTATGCTTGGCAACATTTAATATATAATAAAAACTAAATTAAACTTAGTAGGAAAACACAGAGCCAGAATCCTAGAGTTGAAACCCACAGTGAATCATAAGTTTAAATGGCCATATCAAGTCCTCTGCTGTTCTAACTGGGATAAACAGATCAGCAACATTGGCACCACCTAGAAACTTTTATAAATGCACCTTCTAGCCCACTGAATCAGAATCTGCATTTTAGCAAGATCTCCAGGTGAGCATCCAGGCACATCAAAGATTGAGAATCATTGATCCAGTCCCAACGACTGTATTCTATAGATAGGGTTGGCAAACTTTTTTTGTAAAGGGCCAGATAGTAAATACTATAGGCTTTCTAAACTATACAGTGGTCAAAACTACTTAACTCTTTTATTGTATCATGAAAGCAGCCATCAATCTAATAATAGACAAACATGGTAATTAACCCTACCTCCGACATGCTTCCCATTGGCTAATCAGGGCGATATGCAAATTAACTGCCAACCAAGATGGCGGCTGGCAGCCTGGCAGCTGAAGCGAACAGGAGGCTTGCTTGCTCCAGTGATGGAGGAAGCCAAGGTTCCCTGCCTGCTGCTGCCGGCCTCTGAGCTGCACTCTAAGAAACAATGTTGCAATTATAGAAGCTAAACAAACCCCAGAAACCCGCTTTCAGCCAGCCGGGCCTCAGAGCTGGAGCTGCAACAGTGTTTCAATTATAGAAGCCAAACAAACCCAGATACCTGCTTTCAGCAGCCGAGGTCTCAGAGCTGGAGCTGAGCCTCAGAGCTAAAGCTGGCTCTCAGTTCCAGTGACAGCCATAGAAGGTAAATAAATCCCAGAATTAAAAATAAAAAGGGAGAGGTTGGGAGCTTCAGTCACCCGCCAGCCTGAAAACGGCCTTCAGCCCCTCACCCAGACTGGCCAGGCAACCCAGTGGGGACCCTCACCCTGAAGGGGGTGTGACCAGCTGCAAACAGCCATCATCCCCTCATTCAGGCTGGCCAGGCACCCAAGCGGGACCCCCAAACTGATCCGGGACATCTTTCAGGGCAAACCAGCCGGCCCCCACCCGTGCACCAGGTCTCTATCCTATATAGTAAAAGGGTAATATGCAAACTGACCCTAACAGCAGAAAGACTGGGAATGACTGGTCACTATGACACATACTGACCACCAGGGGGCAGACGCTCAATGCAGGAGCTGCCCTCTGGTGGTCAGTGCTCTCCCACATGGAGGAGCTCTGCTCAGCCACAAGCCAGGCTGATGGCTGCCAGTACAGCGGTGGTGGTGGGAGCCTCTCCTGCCTCCTCAGCAGCGCTAAGGATGTCCACCTGCAGTTTAGGCCTGCTCCCCGCTGGCAAGTGGACATCCCCCGAGGGCTGCCGGGCTGCCAGAGGGATGTCTGATTGCCATCTTAGGCCCAATCCCCTGGGGAGCAGGCCTAAGCCAGCAGGAGGTCATCCCCTGAGGGGTCCCAGACTGCGAGAGGGCACAGGCTGGGCTGAGGGACCCCCCTCCCCACCCAAGTGCACAAATTTTTGTGCACCGGGCCTCTTGTCCTAACTAATAAAGAGGGAATATGCAAATTGACCATCACACCAACACAAAGATGGCAGCACCCATAGTCACAAGATGGTGGCACCCAGTCCCCTCCGCCCCACTGGAATCCCCCAGTCCCTTCAGCCCCGTGGTTGGGGGGGGGGTGGCAGGCACGCAACCACCATCTGAGGCTTGCCTGTGCCTCAAGCCAGCCCTGGGCGGCTGGGGGGCTAAGGGTGGGTCTGGCTGCACTGTGCACCTGCCATGCCCGTGGCTGGGCTGAAAGGACTGTGGGACTCCGGCAGCAGGCACAAGGAGGTGAAGCCAACACCTAAGGCACAAGCAAGCCTCGGATGGCGGCTGCCCAGCCACCCAGGGCCGCCCTAGGCTCAGGTAACCAGGGCCGGCTGAGGCTTGCGCTGCCGGCAGTGGCAGCAACAGAGGTGTGATGGGGGCGTCACCTTCCCCTGTTCACTGGGTTGCCTCCCACCCCTGAGAGCTCCCAGACTGTGAGAGGGGGCAGGCTGGGCTGAGGGACTCCCTCCTCCAGTGCATGAATTTTCATGCACTGGACCTCTAGTAGATAATAAATAAACAAATGAGCATGGTAATGTTCCAATAAACATTCATCTATGGACACTGAAATGTAAACTTCACATAATTTTAGAGTATAACAAAAGATCACTGTTTATTTTTTTCAATCATTAAAATATGTAAATACCATTCTAGTTTGTCAGCTGTACAAAAAATAGGCAGTGGGTCAAATGTGGATTATAAGCCAGTTTACCAACCCTATATTATAGGTCTAACGTGGGAGCCCAGGAATCTATACTTCAAAAAGCTCTCTAGGTATTGCAATGCATAAACAGGTTTGAAACAACTCACCTAGGCTATCCCTGTCAATTACTGAGGGAAGACAGGTCTAGAATATGAAATAACTACATTGCAGAGATGAAACTGGGACTTTTTGACTTCCACTATAGTATTATTTTCCCCATGATGTCTTGTGGTTCATCTTTCAGTACTAGTATATTAACATTACAAATAATATATTCTAATTTAAAGTACAAAACCCAAAAATCTTAAGAATCTACACATAATGCATTTTGGTAATAAAAAAAAGTCAGAAATTTTACAATGACATGAAGTGTAGTACAACTTTTTGAAGAATGACAATGAAAGCTTATTAGGATAAATCGCATCCCCTCCCAATATTGCTCTTATGTAATCACGTAAAATAAAGTTTATATTAGTAAATAACTTACTTTCCAGTACTTGCACCATCAACAAAAGGATTCCACTGTAGTACAAAGTTTGGGTCTGATGATACTCCCTGTGAAAGTAAAAAACAGTGTTTAAAATGTTACCTTAAAACAGATACTAATCATTTTATTTGATTCAAAAAATCATTTAGTGTCATGATTGTTAATCATCTTGGTTTCAATCAATTTTTTAATCTTCAGCTAGATTAGTTGTCATTTGACATATTTAGGTCAATGACTCATCAGTTGGCTAAAACTTAAGAAAGTCCATAAACATACTATATATAGCTTCAAGTGTAACAAGTCCTCTTTACCAATAAGCTCATATAGTCAGAAGTAAAACAGAAAAACCTAACTTTGAATCATTTGAATCACTACTCCATTAGCACGGAGAACTAAATGTCATATTATCATTAATTTATTGGTACTATTATTTTTTCCTATTAGTACAGACATTGAGAGTTTATTATACAGCAATGTGTAGGGTGGGGCAAAAGTAGGTTTAATTGTTTGTATGGAAAATAATACAGTAATTGAGAAATAATAATACAAGAATAAACTATTTTGTGTACTCACAACTGTAAATCTACTTTTGCCCCTGTCTGCATATAGTAATAACACCACTTCCAAAGATTAACATGAAGAGGTCCATTAACAGAAGACAATTACTCTAGAAACTATTCTGTTATAAATATAAAGTAGGTTAACATAATATTGAGGCTGACTCTAATAATATCTTGTTCTATCAACTACTTCTTTCCTTTCAGATAAGGAAAGGGTTAACTAAATAGTAATTGCAGAATAAGAGCAATGGTTTTAAAATAACCTATATTAACAGATAACTATTAAAAATAGTAAGCCAATGCAATAATGTACGACAAACCAAAAAGAATAAGAAAAAAAATTCTGAGAGCTTAAAGCTGAGCATCAAAATCTATATACAGTACTTAATAACTTCATGCAAGTTCCTCGAAAGACTCAGAAGGGTCTAAATAAATGGTTACAATGATATATTACACATTTTACCCTAGGAGAAAATACAGCTAAATGTAGGCTTTTTCAAATTTTAATGTGTAAAATACACTATCAAAATTAATACTTAAGAGAACATTACTTTGTTCCCAGGCCAAAGTACACCTAACTATAAATTTTCTCAAATTTTAGTGTGTAAAATACTTTAAAGTCATAATTCCTACCATTTCATCCCGTGCCTCTGTTTCTTTTCTCAAAGGAGGTTCAAATTGTAACTTGTCAACTGCAAAATATATAAGATATTCACCAAATCTATCTATTTTACAGGAAAGTAAGAGAGAAGAGAGGAAAGAAGAAAAGACAAAATCTCTCTCTTTTTTAACCATAAGAGTCCCCCTTACTTTATGCTTACCAAAACAAAGTAACAATGTGGAATCATCCTAACGACTCTATTAATTCTTGATCTGAGTCCAAAAATTAATAGCACTTTTTATTTATAAGAGATTTTTAAAAACTAAGAGTAGATGACAAAGGATTTTAAAAGATTTTAAAACACTTTAAAGATGTTTTCTAGGCTGCAGACTCTGTTTTGAAACTAATTTAATCTACAACTTTATGGTAGGAATGAACCACCAATCCCCAAATTACTTATAATTATCTAAAAAAACCCCACAAATAATACTTTGTCAAGTTAAATGTTACAATGGTATTCAGGAATTTAATACTGTATTTTGACTAATGTGTATTTTATTTGGCCTAGTCAGACTGATTTTAGAATTAAGAGTACTTCTTTTATATGAAATATTCTAAAACAGATAAAAAGGATGGCTTATTACTTATTTATAAGGTACACAGAATTTTAAAATTCTAAAATCTAATGTGACTAAAAGACTAAAAGAAATTAAAATTAAGGCCTGGGCCCAGCTGCCTCCTGCACACCCCCCACCGGGGATATGCCCGCAACCAAGGTACATTCCCTTGAACGGAATCGAACCTGGGACCTTTCAGTCTGCAGGCCGACGCTCTAGCCCAGGGGTCCTCAAACTACGGCCCGCGGGCCACATGCAAATACTAATAATGTATTTGTTCCTGTTTTGTTTTTTTACTTCAAAATAAGATATGTGCAGTGTGCACAGGAATTTGTTCATAGTTTTTTTTAAACTATAGTCCGGCCCTCCAACGGTCTGAGGGGCAGTGAACTGGCCCCCTGTTTAAAAAGTTTGAGGACCCCTGCTCTAGCCACTGAGCCAAACCAGTTAGGGCAAGAAAATTCTTGTATAACCTTAACATCAAGAAGGCCTTGCTTCACATAACACAAAACCCAAAAGTTATACAAGAAAAGATGCATAAGACTATATTAATTGAATACTATACAGCTGCATAAAATAGAGAAAGCTTTATAATGGAACATCAACTTTGCTCTTTTCTGTCTGGTATCTGAAGTCCAGATATTTCACTTGGAATTACGTAAGAAGGTAGCACAAGAACATCAGCAATCTGAGACTAACAAAGAGATAAAATCTTGAATTACTGGTTTAACTATAAATAGATATGACTGAAACAACTGATATGGAAGGATATTTCTAACTCTCCATTGACCTATATTTCTGATGCTGTATCCAGAAAGCTAGTAATATTTGGGTTCAAGAAAACTGACTTGAAATGCTCATTTGCAATAATTCTAATTAACCTAAATACTTATTAAGTTATCGTCCTCCATTATGGTTTATAATTTTATTTATATCTTTTTTTACTGTAAACTATTTTAAATCTCTTTGAAACAAATATGCATTTAAATCAATATACCCATACTTAAAATTTCTTTGCAAATCTATTTTCTAAATTACTATGGATAAAATGACAAATATTGCTGATACTAAACTTCTATCTGTCAATGATTTATTGAATAAAAATCAATTTCCATTTATTTATTTATTTATTTAATCCTCATGTGAGGATATTTTTCCATGATTTTTTTTAGAGAGAATAGAAGGGAGGGGGACAGACAGAGAGAGAAACATCGATGCAAGATGCAAGAGAGAAACATCAAAAGACACATCCACTGGTTTTCTCCCGCACACTCCCCAACTCAGGCTGGGGATTGAACCTGGAACCGAGTTATTTGCTCTTGACTGGAACTGAACCTGAGACCCTTCAATCTTCAGGCTGACTCTCTGACCACTGAGAAAACTGGCTAGGGCAATTTAAAAAATACAATTTTTAAACATGTATTTTAGAAAAGACTCACGTTAGTGTTAATGTTAAACTGTCTTAAAAAAAACTAAAACCAACTCAAATATCCAACAATAAAAAACTGTCCAACTATAAAGTATCAACTCAATGAATAAGATACAACCATCACACATAATGGTTTATAAAGGCTAGGCTAATATGTAGAAAATACTTAGGTAAAATTTTATGTATATTATAAATTCAGCCACCTAAAAATATACATGGAAAAACATGAAGAAAATTCAGCAAAATATTATCTGTGGGTTGGCATGAGTGATGTGATTGTAGGCAATGTTGATTTTCTAGTTTTTCCTCTTGCAAATTTTCTGCAATAGACATATATTACCTCTGTAATTAGAAAATGAAAAACTATTTTATTGAAATCCAAGTGAATTCCATTATAAACCAGAAAAGCAACCTCTATTTTAGAGGTATCCTGATATGTCAAAGTATGTAGCCTCAAATGGTTTGAGACTTTATTATTCCAAAAAACCACAAGAGCACCCAGCTCAACCCTCCAAAACCACCAATTGAAAATATATACCAAACACATACAATTTATTTCTGAAGCTGTTCGTTCAGCTCTGGCATTCCTGTTTGTAGATCTAATGGTATGACGAATGATTGCATGGGGCTGTGGATATAAACATATAATTAAAAATTTTATTTTTCAATTAGTTTATATTCAATATAATTTTTTATTAGTTTCAGGTGTACAGTATAATGGTTAGACAATCATAAACTTTACAAAGTATTTAAAAGTTTATTCACTTAGCCCTGGCCAGGTAGCTCAGTTGGTTCAAGCACCATCCGATATGCCAAGGTTGCAGGTTTGATCCCCAGTCAGGGCCCATACAAGAAGCAACCAATGAATGCATAAATAAGTAGAACAACAAATTGATCTCTCTTTCTCTCTCCTCACCTTTTCTCACTCTTAAAAAAAAAACCCCAATAAATAAAATTTAAAAGAAGTTTATTCATTTATTCCATGTCTATACTGTATAAAATATATGAGATTTAAAGAAAGCCAGAGATCTTCGAAGAGTTTATAGTCTAGGTCAGTGATGGCGAACCTATGACACGCGTGTCAGAGGTGACACGCAAACTCATTTTTTTGGTTGATTGATTTTTCTTTGTTAAATGGCATTTAAATATATAAAATAAATATCAAAAATATAAGTCTTTGTTTTACTATGGTTGCAAATACCAAAAAATTTCTATATGTGACACGGCACCAGAGTTAACTTAGGGTTTTTCAAAATGCTGACACGCCAAGCTCAAAAGGTTCGCCATCACTGGTCTAGGAAGACAAGACACAAATACTTATAAGATTAGAAAATGGTAAGTGCCATTCATTAAGAAGATTATTACTAAAAAATGATTACTATTTTTTTTTTTTAAAAAAAACACGTTTTTATTGATTAAAGAGAGAAAGGGAGAGGGAGAGATAAAGAGAGAGAGAGAAACATCAATGATGAGAGAGAATCACTGATCAGCTTCTGCATGCCTCACACTGGGTATCGAGCCCGCAACCTGGAGTTAGTTATTATTTGGCTATAATGAAGATTATGTGAAGAGATGACAATGCTGGAAGGAGACTGAGGATGAGAAGTATCATCAAGATTGTCAGGTTAGGGCTCTTAATTTTATTTTCTTGGCAAAGGTATTTTTTGGAGATTTTACAGAGAGGGGGTGGCATCACCAGTCATTTTTAAGAGTGATCTGATAGCCCTGACCGGTGTGGCTCAGTTGGTTGAGCATTTGAGCATGGTCCTAGGCACCAAAAGGTTGCCGGTTCCATTCCCAATCAGGGTACATGCCAGGTTGTGGGCTCAATCCCCAGGAGGCAGCCAATCAAAGTTTTCTCTGTCTCACATCAATGTTTCTCTCATTCTCTGAAATCAATAAAAACATTTTTTTTTAAAAAAAGAATAATCTGATGAATGTGTAAGGGGGCACAGTGGGAAGAAATACTGGATGCAGGGAGACTAAGTAAGAATATTGTAGTAAATCAAATGAGACGCATACTACTTCCACCCTTTTGTATAAGTTCCTAATTCTTTTGAAACTATGCCTTCAGCTGAACCCCTATCAAATTTCTGATAACTCTCATTCACTGACTACTCAGACAGTGCCTATGTTTTTTTCTTTACTTCAAAACCCACCATCATACCAACAGACTTCAAAAGCCCACTGTTAAAAAAAAAAAAAAAAGCCCACTGATTTTAAATTTTCTGACCTCATCTCTAGAGGCATTCTTCAATGCATTCTCTACTAGATCCCACCCTGAATCCTGTCATCTGTTCTGATATACAAATTCACACAATACTCCAAACTTCTCATCCTTTCAGCTTACTCTCTTATTTATCCCCATTAAACTTTTATAATGTTCACCTTAGAATCTCAAGTCCATCAATCCATTACTTTTTCACTATCAGAATTGTTCCTAACTTCACTTTTCTTCCTACCCAGTTTCTATCTGGCAGACCGCAACTGCAATCTCCTGCCAATATTCTAAATTCCCTTTGTCTCAGGGTCCTTCACTATACTAGCATGCCAAAATGATAACCCCAGATAAATTAAACTAGCTACCTTTTGTTTACATCATTATATCTGTGATGAATCTGTTTACAATATTCATCACTGCTGGATGAATATTACCCAGCAAAACACATTGAAAATCTCTCATGTAAGGCTTCAGCTTTGTCCAAAAACACTTCTTGAACCATTTAACCCATAAAGTAACCTTTACACATCTTCTCTACACTCTTCAAACCCATCCATATTCCTTCCCACCTTTAGGAGATAACCTTGCTACTTACTTCACAGAAAAAACAGAAACATCAACTAGAAACCTACTACCTACACTGTCAGCCACCCTCTCTATTGCAAGGGAAGTGTTTCTTTTCTTTTCTCAATTTCAGTCTCTCTTTCCTTCTCAGGGATTTTGTCTATTCATCTTGCTTCTCGTGGTTCTTCTATCTCTATCTATTGGATCCTTTTCATAAGCACTTCATCCTGCTCAAACCTTTGCCACACATAAAACCGTCAATAAATCCCCCACCAACTCATTTTTCTCTAGCTATTGCTCTATCCTACTCCCCCATTTTCCCAACTAAACTTCATAAACCAATTGCTATACTTATCTTTCAAACTATTCTAATCTAGATTCACTTCTACTATTTGAAAATTATTCTTTTTAAAGTATTCAAATTCTACCACCCATATCCAATGATTTCTTTAACTCAACTTCTAGACAGTATTCTAATTAAAACTTTCCTTCTTTATTTTAATGTTCTTTATCTATCCTTTGCCATTCCCCTTAGCTTACTTGATTCTTGAATCAGGGAAGAAATCTCAGGATATTGTCCTAGGCTCCCTGCTTTTCTCATTCTACTAGAAAACTAGCTTCCTTTGCGTGATCATACCTACCCTTTAGGGTATTATCAACTACATCTATATCTAATGCCTTTCAAATTTATATCTCTAGTCCAAACTTCTCTCTGCAAGCTACAACCACATAGCTCTCACTTTTTATGAGATTTCCCTATTTGGAAGTCTTGTGCAACATTAAAATTACCATATATAAAACTAAACTGATCTTTCTTACCAAATCTGTTCAAGTCAAAATCTGGAATAACCCTTTTCTGACTGCCCCCGAACTGCCCTCAACCCTCATGTCTTCATCCCATCATCAGTTCTCTCATATACAATAATTTTTTTGTTTTGTTTAGTTAATCCTCACCAGAAGGTATTTTTTCCATTGATTCTTTTAGAGAGTGGAAGGGAGGGGAGGTGGAGAGCCAGGGAGAGAGACACATTAACATGTGTCTCTCACAAGGATTGGATGCCTCCCGCACGAGACTGCAACTGAGGTACATGCCCTTGACTGGAATTGAACTCTTGACCCTTCAGTCTGTACCACTGGCCGACTGAGCCAAACAGGCTAGGGCTCTCATATAATTCTTGAATTAGTTTACTTTTCTCCATTCTTGCTCTACTACCCTACTCTAAAATGCTATTATCTCTATTCAGAAAAACTTCAAAAGCCTCTTAACAGGTTTTCTGGAATGGAATCACCATTCTGAAGTTATAAAGATCTTAAAATGTGTATCTAATTATATCACTCCTTTACCCTTGAATAGCTTCTATTGCCCTTAAGCTAAAGCCCAAAATTTTCAACATGGCTTGAAATGACTAGCTCTATAACTTCCTCTCTCACCACTTCCTTCCTTGTTTTCTGCTCTAAGAAGGCTGACTTATCTCTAGTTCATCAAATACACTGCTTTCTCTCTTATCACCAGGCCTTCAAACATACTATTATCCCTCTGCTCAAAACACTTTTGCCTGTTCTCTTCCTCTAATTCGATTTATCCTTTAGGTTTTTAGCATATATGTCACTTCTACAGAGAGTCCTTTCTTGTCCCTATGATATGACCCCATAGCATCTTGTATTTACCAGTCCATAATAGTTATCACACTTGCAAGTTATTTGTTTATATTTCTGAATTGAGGGCATATAAATTCTTTGAAGGCAGGAGTAGTGTCAAGTCCTATATACCACTGCGTCCCCAACTGCCTGGCACAAGGTTTTTTATATTTCAAATACTAGTGATATCACTAAATATAGAAATAGAAATCTCAGAAGGTAGAGCAGATTTGGAAACCAAGCAAAATAATATGGGGGAATAAGAGAACTTTTGTTATTTAATATGTCATTTATGTGTAATAAAATGCTCACTGGGTACTGATGATAAGACTATGCTATATATATCTATATAAACTGAGTGGTCAGATTATTATGACACCTGACAAATTAGCTTGTAGGCAAATTAGCTAAAATTTCACGTGCTGAAGTTGCTAGAGGGCCAGAACATTATAAACAGGGAAGCAGGTTGTTTACCACGACAGTAGAAGTGATTTTTTTTCTGAAGATATGGGTAAACAACGTGATTTAACAGCCTTTGAATGTGAGATATATTTGAACGTGAGTGGCCATATTATTATGACCACCTGACATTTGTAGGCAAATCAGCCATACACTGCATCGTATGAGATATGAAAGCCGAAGGCCTGTTGGAACACCTTTGCTGACGTCTCCAATTCACACAGGAACACAAGGATTTGTCAGTCGAGCATTGGAAAAAAGTCATGTGGCTGATGAATCACGTTTCCAGTTGCATCATGCAGATGGCAGAGTGAGAATTTGGCGGAAACAGCATGAAAGCATGCACTCCACATGCATGAGTACAACCCTTCAAGCTGGTGGGGGCAGTGTTATGGTTTGGGGCATGTTTTCCTGGCATGATTTGGGCCCTTTAATTTGTGTGGAACAACGTCTGAATAGCACATCATACCTAAGTATCATTGCTGATCAGGTTCATCCTATCATGTTGATGGCGTCAATGGAGATGGCTTCTTCCAACAAGACAATGCGCCATGCCACGGTGCTCATATTGTGCAGGAGTGGTTTCAAAAACATGAGGGAGACTTTACCTTGCTTAGGTGGCCCCTACAATCACCAGATCTCAATCCCATTGAGCATTTGTGGGACGAAGTTCAAAGCGCCATCAGGCAGCTGGTTCCACAACCATCAAATCTCACAGAACTAAACAGTGCTATTCATCAGGCATGGTGTCAGATACCTCGCATCACCTTTCAACATCTCGCGGAGTCAAGGCCAAGAATCACCGCAGTATTGAAGGCAAAAGGTGGCCCAACGAAGTACTGATGGGGTGGTCATAATAATCTGGCCACTCATGTTCAAATATATCCCACATTCAAAGGCTGTTAAATCGCGTTGTTTACCCATATCTTCAGGAAAAAAATCACATCTACTGTCGTGGTAAACAACCTGCTTCCCTATTTATAATGTTCTGGCCCTCCAGCAACTTCAGTGTGAAATTATAGCTAATTTGCCTACAAATGTCATGTGGTCATAATAATCTGGCCACTCAGTGTATAATCTATAGCAATGATTCCTTTAAAATGATTAGTTTTCAAAGATTGCTTAATGACTTTCTATTAAGTACATACATAGAAATGATGGTGTAATAACTAAGATAGTAGGCTTTAGAATTAGTTTGCCTGGATCCAAATCCTGGTTTTACTACTGACTAGTCATATGATCTTGTCAAATTACTTCTAGCCTTTCTTCTTCATTTCCTCATTTGTAAAATGGGGACAGTAATACCTATTGCAAAGGACTATTCTGGGTATTAGATGAGTTAACATGGAAATTATTTGGCCTAATAGTCATTGGCCACACAATACCTACCCAATGAGTGTTAGTAGTAATCATAATAGTTATATGGCATAACTTAAATCTTAAGAACATAAAATAGAAAATTTCCTTCAATAAATAACAACACAAAGTTTAGTTCCATAGTCTGGCCAAAAATAAAGATAGAGTTATAAGAAGAAATAAAGGCAGAAAGAGAAATGAACAGACAGATTTCAAGAAACACAAAAATAAAAAGGAATCAAAAAGAAGAGGAAGAGACACTGGTGAAAAAACATAGTTATATACAGACAGGAAGTCCCTCATTCCTGATTTACAAGTTATATTATTAAATATGGTCTATTCAAAATAATTCGACAATATTTTCAGTTATAAATAGCTCTGCAAGTAATTATGTAAAAAAATAATAGTTTTGAACAAGTATTGGAAAGAATAAACTTCTATGGGAACCTCAACCTAATTCTTAAAAATTATTTGTATTCTGTTAGTGACCTGTATAATAAAGAAATTACAAAAATCTGGAAAGAACTAGGATTAAGAAATGATTATGTTATGTATATTATACCACAATTTTAAAGAAAAGTATCAAGTCGTAATTTTATTCAAGATAAGTGTAGTTTATACTGCTAATTAATCTTTGTAGCTAAATCTGTTTTAACTAACTTAAAAGAGTTAGAAAACAAACTCGTAAGGCCATATTAAACATTTATTTTCAATTATTAGACTGCAAACACTCCTTACCTCAAAGTCATCATCATCTCCTTCAGTATAATGTGAATGGTTGTCTGGATTGTTCATTTTGTCCAAAAGTTCAACTGCTAGGGCCCTAGAGAGACCTGGCTGTCCTACAAAAGTGTGCTAAGTGAAAACACAACAATTTCATGAGTATGCTTTTACATCTATGGCTTACAGAAATGTTATCTGTATTTTCCATTCAGTAAATATCAGAGGTAAGTATATGGGAGCCTACTAGTACAAATACATTAGAGAATGTATTAGCAAAATATTAATCACAGAATCCATAATTATGTATTATAAAGCTAAAGAATCTTTGTGGAATAAGTTTATAACATTAACATATAAGGTAGTAAAAGTAAAACTTTGGCTATAATAATGACATTCATTACTCATGTCATTATGCTAATGAAATTATGTTAATGTACAAAGACATACAGTGAAATTATGACATTTAATAGTTTTCTTAGACTGCTATACTCATTTTTTGTACTATAAAAATATTTAACAAATACATATACACACAGAGCATTCTATAGATTAATAGAAGAATCCAAGAAAAGTAACTTTAATGACAGCAATATTTTTAATAGTTTTCTCTATGGTAGGGGTTGGCAAACTACATACAGCCCATGGACAAAATCTGGTGCACTGCCTCCTTCTGTAAATAAAGTTTTATTGGTTGTTAAAGCCACACCCATTTGTATGTACTATCTATGGATGCTTCTGTGTTACAAGGGCAAAACTGAATAGATGTGGCAGAGGCTAGACAGCCCACAAAGCCTATAATATTTACTATCTGACTCTTTACAGAAAGTTTGCTAACCCCTGCTGTAAGAGTCACTAACATTTTTATATTAAAAAACCTAAATACATTTGTTCTAGTGATATGCCTAATTAAGACATGACTACAGAAGATTCACCTATAATTTCAATGACTTACAGTCAGAAGTCTTTCAGCAGTTGGTCTTTTTTTTGGGTTTTTGGTTAGTGCTATTTTGACAAAATTATGGAATGTTGATGACCTTAAAATAAAAGGAGACACGTACAAAAATATTTCACTAATATTAGTTTTTTGGTGTTACTAAATAAAGTTAACTTACAAGTAGTTTCAAAGTCTGAAACACATGATTTTTTTTTCTCTTAGGCCTCTTAACTCTATATAAGCCCCAAAACTAAACCCAAAGCACAGATATTCCTTGGTGCCCTGGCCAGTGTCGCTTAGTTGGTTGAACATTGTCCCATGCACCAAAAGGTCGCCAGTTGGATTCCTGGTCAGAGCACATACATACATGCCCAGGGTGCGGGCTCAATTCCCAGTAGAGGGCGAGCAGGAGGCAGCCAATTGATGTTTTCCTTTCAGTTGGATGTTTTTCTCCCTCCCTCTCTCTCTCTTTCTCTCTCTCTCCTTCCCTCTCCATTTCTCCCTTTCTCTAAAAAAATCAATAACAATGTATTTAAAAAGAAGAAAATGTGTGTTAGTTCCATCTCTTAAGTAAAATTCAATTAGTTGACAGAATAGTAATATATGAGCTCTAAAAATACAGTAAAAAGCAGAAATGCATAGATGTATCACTTACAGGATTCATAATCTATTAAACTTAGAAATCAAAATGACCTTTTCTTATTGCCTAATTTATGTAGTATGTAAATGTTCTGCTACATCAAAAGAGTTGAATGATGAGGAGATAGGGTTGGGAGATAATGTAAAAGATTATTTAAAGCCTTTAAAACAGTGGTTCTCAACCTTCCTAATGCTGCGACCCTTTAATACAGTTCCTCATGTTGTGGTGACCCCCAATTTCACTGTTACAAATTGAACATAATTAGAGCATAGTGATTAATCACAAAAACAATATGTAATTATATATGTGTTTTCCGATGGTCTTAGGCGACCCCTGTGAAAGGGTCGTTCGACCCCCGAAGGGGTCGCAACCCACAGATTGAGAACCACTGTTTTAAAAGGTCACTGAATTTCTTAGAAACAAGGACAAAGAAGGGGTGATTTTTGCAAGCAGAAGAGTTTTCCTGCCATCTACATTGATGAAGCAGGGAAAATGACATAAATTAAAGGAATCATGCTTGGATTAATTAATAGCAAAGATGGATATTTGCACCATAGCCAAAATTCCACTGGAGGAGGGACTGGGCAAGAAACAAAGAGAATAAATAACCTTAGTTATTATCAATGACAGCAAACACACAGCATTTCTCTTCAGAAAAATCACATTACTGCATTACATTTGGTGACTTGTGGAGTTACATAGTGTCTGAGACTGGCAAAGGTATCCAATGGTAATGAATCCTCTGGACTCTAACTGTGAATTCAGTGGTTATAGCTAATAGTCATTCCTGAATGAATTTTCAGTCCCTCCTGCCATAATCCCCTCCAGCTTTAATTGCTTAGGACAGTGATGGCGAACCTATGACACGCGTGTCAGAGGTGACACGCAAACTCATTTTTTTGGTTGATTTTTCTTTGTTAAATGGCATTTAAATATATAAAATAAATATCAAAAATATAAGTTTTTGTTTTACTATGGTTGCAAATATCAAAAAATTTCTATATGTGACACGGCACCAGAGTTAAGTTAGGGTTTTTCAAAATGCTGACACACCGAGCTGAAAAGGTTCGCCATCACTGGCTTAGGAACTTCAGGTGACAAGGAATAGGAAGAAACCTGTGTCAATACAAAAGAATACAGCTAGCAGAATATAAACCTTTTTTTGGGAACAGGACTCTCAGAATCTGAAATAAGATATGAACATACAGAATTTGGGGGGTCCATGGACCATTAAAGAGACCCATGTAATCTAGATGAAAAATAACTGAATTTAAGAACTTATTTGCATAGTTTTTAAAATTAAATGTATGGAAAGACATTACCAGGAAAACTATTTTCAATTTTTATCATCCAATTGAAGATGTCCTTATGAACTATAAGAATATTCAAACTGCTTTACTTTGTATAAGAAAGAAGATATCAGAATGAAAATATGTAATAACCTTTTCTTTTTGGAAGGAAGAGTGGGGGAGAGAGAGAAAGAGAGAGAGAAATATACTGATGCAAGAGAGAGACATTGAATGGTTGCCTCCCACACGCCGGGGATCAAATTTGCAACCGAGAATGTGCCCTTGACCAGGAATCGAACCCAAGACTCTTTGGTTTTCAGGCCAACACTCTAACCACTGGGACACACAGGCCAGGGCAGTAATAACCTTTTAGAATATTAAGGAAGGAAGGTGAGAAAAGTTATTAAAGATTAACTTAAGTGTCATGATATCTGGGGAAACTTTTCACATCATCTTCCATAAAAGTCGCCACGTAATTAATGAAAGCACAGAGTAAAAATATCAATTTTGAAGTCAATGCATTTATGTCAAATCCTTTCCTCACCACATCTCTTACCCAAAAATGCCAAAACATAAGAACATGATCAGAATTTTTTAAGACAGCAATACATTACTAGGTGTACCAGTTAATAATGCGGATTTTTTTCAATAGATGGAGTTACATATATGTTGATATACATACGATTTGATATGTATGCTATGTTGTATTGACAGCAAGCTTCAAAACCTCATATGTCAAATTTGCTGAAGGTTTTAACATCATAGATATTTTTATGCTTAAAAATGTCGAATTTCGTGCCAAAAAAAGAGCATTTGCGGGAAGTTTTAATTTATTACTTTATTTTGAAGAAAAAGTTATCGTATACTTCAAGAAGCTGATGGTGAACATGTTACATCTCAAGATACTTGTGAATGGTGGTTTAAACGCTTTAACAGTGATGATTGCGATGTGAAAAACAAATAGCATCCAGGTCAACCGAAAAAGTTTGAAGACCAACAATTACAAGCATTATGGGATGAAGATGCGTGTCAAACTCAAAAACAACTTGCAGAAAGATTAAACGTTGCTCAGCAAACAATTTCCAATCGTTTACAAGCAATGGGAAAGATTTTAAAGGAAGGAAAATGGGTGCCGCATCAACTGAACGAAAGACAAATGGAAAACCAAAAAGTCATCAGTAAAATGTTGCTTCAACGGCACGAAAGAAAGTCTTTTTTGCATTGAATTGTGACTGGCGATGAAAAGTGGATTTATTTTGAGAATCCCAAATGCACAAAATCATGGGTTGATCCAGGTCCACCATCAACATCGACTACAAGGCCAAATCGCTTCAGAAAGAAGACAATGCTCGGCATTTGGTGGGATCAGGAAGGTGTGGTGTATTATGAGCTTCTAAAACCAGGTGAAGCTGTTAATACTGATCGCTACTGCCAACAAATAATCAATTTGAACTACGCTTTGATCATGAAACGAACAGAATGTGCCAGAAGACACAGCAAAGTAATTTTGCTTCATGATGACATACCATCACACACTTCAAAACCAGTTAAAGACACGTTAAAAGATCTTGCCTAGGAATTATTAACCCACCCGCCGTATTCACCAGACCTTGCTGCTTCACATTACCACTTGTTCTGATTGATGGCACATGTGCTTTCTGAGCAGCACTTCAAAACGTACGAAGAAGTGGGAAACTGGGTCTCTGAATGGTTTGCCTTAAAACAAGAAAAGTTCTATTGGAACGGTACCCACAGATTACCTGAAAGATGAGGGAAATGTGTAGCTAGCGATGGACATTACTTTGAATAAGGCACTTTTGGTGTTTCTCTTAAAATTATCGTGTTTTCTTTGATTACAAAATCCGCCACTATTAACCAGTACACCTAGTATAAAGGAACACTGACCAGAAAAACCTAGATCCTTACCATAGCTCTGTAAGTAAATTAGATGTGTAACTTTAGGTAAACTGTTGTTTAATGCCTCTGGGCTTCAGTTTCATTATCCATAAAACACGAGAACTAAACCTGTATCCATTTCAACTGTAAAATTCTATAAATCTATATATTTTTTAACTTACCATTTTGTTTTGTCCTTTAGTTTCGGGGGCTGAAAATTACTTTTGGACATTAAGAAGAGGGCCCTGAAATAAAAACTTCAGTTAAAGAGCAATACCAAAATACTTTTATTACTACACTTAATAATCAGATGAGCATTCTGTAATAAATTTATACAAGATTACTACATATGTAGACACTGGTGAAAACTGGTATAAAATACGGAAATTAAATTTTTTATATTTTGGAAAACCTATGGAAAATTTCCCCTGGCTAGAGAAAGGATCTTTTAATTTCAAACAAGCTCTGGCAAAGCTACCAAACGTTAGAGAAGGGTTTTGTGATCATACTGTTAGATATATAACTGATATTTTATCTTAGGTAAAAATCTATATATATTGTATATCATTTTGTAACACACACCTAACATTAGGTTGTATGTTTAACTGAAAATATGCCTCTATAATTATTTTGGGTGTATAGGCAAATCATGTTCACTTCATAGTCCAGTGATGGCGAACCTTTTGAACTCGGCGTGTCAGCATTTTGAAAAACCCTAACTTAACTCTGGTGCCGTGTCACATATAGGAATTTTTTGATATTTGCAACCATAGTAAAACAAAGACTGACATTTTTGATATTTATTTTATATATTTAAATGCCATTTAACAAAGAAAAATCAACAAAAAAAATGAGTTTGCGTGTCACCTCTGACACGCGTGTCATAGGTTCGCCATCACTGTTAAGTCTGTTTCCCTTTTTGGCCAATAATTTCCCACACCCTTTTATTATGAATGATACAGAAGTCAACCTATAAGAGAACTTTCTTTATCTGGGAGTCTACCTATGACCCATTTTCTATGGACTATAGGGGTTGAAGAATGGAGGATTTAAGAAGGAAGTTCTAAAATGCTCTATTTCACTAATTCCTACAAAACCGATTCCAGGTTTCTAAGTAAACTGCTTAGTTGTGTGTTTTTTTTTTGTTTTTTTTTTAATGTCAAAGATATTTTCTCATTTTAAAAGCTAAATGATCTATAATAAAAGCATAATACGCTAATTAGACTGGACAGCCAAACGTCCTTCTGGACAAAGTGGCAGCTGTTGCGAGGGCCCAAGGCAGGCAGCTGCGGCCAGCAGCGGCAGGGTGATGGGGGCGGTGCTTTCCCCTGGCCCGGTCGCTTCCCCTAAGGACTCCTGGACTGTGGGGTGGGGGAGGCCAGGCTGAGGCAGCCCCCTGCCAGTGCATGAATTTTCGTGCACCAGGCCTCTCATTCATATAAAGGAAAACTGAAAAGAAAATAAAGGTCTATACTCCTACAACCCTAAGATATTATTTGAAATTTTCTGCTCTTTTTAGTCTTTATCTTAATAATAACCAATTACTACATCACTGTATTAGGTAATATTATGTTCTGCCTTTTTTTAAAAATTAATAATCAATTTCTCATGTTTCTTTGGTTTACGTAATAGCTGCCCTTAATACTAAATAATTTGCTTAACAACTCACCAATTATTGGACATTTAGATTTCCCCCCTGTTATGCAGAAATGGATAATCCTTTTTTTCCTGAATTATTTCCCAAGTATAATTTTCTTAGTGAAATTACTGAAACATTTGGATGGCCCATAACAAATAATGTCTAAATTATTTTTTTAAAAGTCTGCACCTTTTGACATTCCACCTAAATGTAGATATCTCTTAACTTGTATAACTTTAGTTACTTGTGAGGTCAAATAGTTCTCCATGTTTCTTTAGTACTTACTCATAAACAATTTATATTTTGCCTATAAAGTCTTTGAATGAGTTCCTTATGAAATATATATTATTCTGTCTATCATGTGAGGAAAACAAATTACCCATTCTGTTGATTTTCTTTTTAACTTTATACTATTTACTTTAAAAGTTTAAATTTTAGTCCAATTTATCTTTTCATTAAAAATATTAAAAACCCTTTCAAAGGCCCTCAAATTTTTTTTCTGAGACAATTTAACCTAAATGCAAATGACAATTATACTAAGCACAACTCTTTATCCCTAGGAAAAGTAAAAAACAACAACAAAAAACATGCTGAAATGAACAACAAAAATATCTCATCTGCAGTCTATCATATGTTTATGAATCTACTTAAGACAAAAAAAAAAAAAGAAACAAGTTCAACGGACAGAAGAATGAATGTAATGACTTAAAAAAGATTTCAGACAGTACTGTTTGCTCTTTGTTGTTTTAGGAATAGTAATACAAGCGAGGAGGGTTTAGATGAGATTATCCTTAAGTCCCTTATAAACCTTTACCATTTTAACATACTTGAAAATTAGCTTGGAATATCCAACTTATCAGTATCTCATTCCCAGAAGACTTATTAATAAGTGCATAATCTTAAATAGTGAGAACACCTCATTGGATGAAGATCAAACATAGGTGGTTGAAGTTCTCCAAGTTCAATTGCTGTTATTCCTACTGCCCAGATATCACAGAGTTGGTTGTAGCCACCATTCTTTTCTACTGCTGCAACTTCTGGGGCCATCCTAGAAGGAATCAGTGAATATATCATTTTCATTTTTTAAAAATGATATGAAATCTGCGACTTTTGTCTTCACTAGACTTCCTGGAGGAAAAGGAGCTGAGAGACATTTGCTAAGAAGAAACTTTATTTTAAAAGACTTATAAAGACCTCATACATACACAGACACACACATTCTTTAAATTCATTATTTAAAAATCTTTTTTTAAAAAAAAATATATTTTATTGATTTTTTACAGAGAGAACAGGAGAGAGATAGAGAGTTAGAAACATCGATGAGAGAGAAACATCGATCAGCTGCCTCCTTCACATCTCCCACTGGAGATGTGCCCGCAACCCAGGTACATGCCCTTGACCGGAATCGAACCTGGGACCTTTCAGTCCGCAGGCCAACGCTCTATCCACTGAGCCAAACCGGTTTCGGCACATTATTTAAAAATCTTGAATCCTCTCCTCTGAATACTAGTGCTCTGAGGAAAAAATCGTGTTGTCTTATTTCAGTTTGTTTTGTAAATCTTGTTATGTAATATGGGAAAAGAAAAAGAACACCTAAATCCCTGTGAAGGTCAGAGAAAAGTTCCTAAAGGAGGTGAGACTTAAAGAATGAATCATCAGGGAGCTAAGAGCAGTAGGAAGTTGGGACATTTTAATCAGATGAAACAAGTGTAAATGAAGGGAGACAAGAAGAGAGCATGCAGTATCTGGAGAAGTGATAGGACAGTGCTACTCAATGATATGGGGCATAAATTGCTTGCTGTGAGTCTGTGATAAGTATAGAAATTCAGAGTAAGCACTTACTCTCATCAAATACATAATCATTTTTTAGTTTGTCATTTTTATTTTACTGAAAGGTCATTCATTACAGACAGTTTGAGTGAGACAATAAAGAATTTGAAAAATGAACATCAGAGATGGTGCTAGATGAAAAATGAATGGCCTACTGATTATATAAGAAATTCAGACTTTACTGTGAAAATAAAAGGTTAATTATGGGGGTAAGCTTGATCTAAAACTCATGGCAACATGAAGGACAGTGTGAGAGGAGGTGAAACCAGCATTATGCAGATGAATTAGATTATTTCAAAAACACAAGGGAAAAAACAAAGGATTTTTTGAAGGCAGTGGCAGAGGGGACAGAATAAAAGGGGTTGGCTATAGAGAATGATGTGAGTATAAAATGCTTATGCATATACAAGTATAGCTATTATCAAACAGCTGTTTTGAATATATATAAGACTGAAGGTCAACTGAGTAGTGGAACTGGAGTTATCTACTTGGCAGTCAGTGATGTATAATGATGGTATCTGAAGTTATAAAGCATAGATGATATTGCTCAGGAGAAATATTCTTTTATTTTTTAACTAGAGGCCCAGTGCACGAAATTCATGCACGGGGGTGGGGGGGGGGGTCCCCTCAGCCCTGCCTGCACACTCTGCAATTTGGGACCCCTACACCTTTTTCTTATCTAGCCAATCTCTTCACATTTAAAAAAAATAACTGAAATATCACCTACTCTAGGAAATCCTCTTTGAACAAATCTCTTTACAATCTGTATTAAGTATTTTCATAGTATATCATTCTTTTTCTTTAACAGCAACTTAAAGTGGATGCAATGTGGTTCTCATTCTTGCATCTGAATTTTTTCTTCTTGCTCTTGTAATAGCAAAGCTTATCCAATTTACATTTGCCCCTCAAGGGCTTATATTTGGTTCAGTTTCTAGTTGGCTCCCTGTCTTTTTTTTTAAGCAATAAATTTGGGTTGTGATAGTAAGCCTCACTTGTAATCAAGCCTGTAGGTCTCCCTATCTGAATATTTCTATAATACCTATCACTTTAGCATACCAGAGACTGTGTTCATTTATAGAAAATAACAATAAATGTCACTGATCATTTGATCTTCTAGTGATATTTTATAGCAAGATGTATTATTCTAGTAATTTAACTATTACAAAACTGAGGCGTGCAGAAATAAATCACATTGAACAATAAAGAATGACTCAAATATCAAAGCATAGTACACTTAGGGCCTCCCTTGTCCTGTGACTCAGATATCATAGCATATTACACAGTTCACATGGAACTCAGTTTCTGTTAAAATAGGAAGGGATCCCATACTCATGAAGCAGCTACTTTCACACATATTTTTTTTATTTAAGTCATAGCACATACTCTTTGTACTAATTGTTGGGAAATCACCCTAGCAGTTGCCTCTGTTCCTCTCTGTATTGTTGCCTTACATTCTGATGTCATTACTGCGCTTTATCATCCACTCACTCTAATAAGATTGTGAGTTATTTAAGGGCAGAGATCATGACTTGAGCTTGTCTGTTCCCTGTCATGGTGCCTAGATAAATACTCACATGCCATCCAGTCCAAATGACTGTGATGAGAGAGGCCCACCGTTGCTGGAGATCTCTGATTTTTATTTAAGGGGCCTCACTTGTTCTGCGCCTTTTACAGAAAGGTGAGTAGTGTCTGAGGGAATTTGAGGAAACCCAGACAGAATTCTCCTCCTAAAAGATTTTGCTAAGCTGGCGCCCAGGACCGCCAGGCATTTGTCCAATTAAAACCTGGACACACAGCAATAACATAGGCACTGGTCTCCTACTGCTAATGACTAGGGATCAAACCCCAGCCTGCAGGAACTCACCCCCTCAGTCAGGACCGGGCCGCTGGTGGACCTGGGCTGGTGCTCCTAACTCTCGGGAGAGGGAGACTTCCCGTGGCTGCAAGCTAGAGGTTCCGGACTCCGCGCCATCCACCCAAACAGGTCCATAGCGCAGGCTGGTCAGCGGAGCGGCTTCTTCGCCTAGGATCATGGGGAGGCCTGGCCTGGCCTGTTTGCCCCGCAATAGCGGGGAGAGGCCTGGCCTGTTTGCCCCGTGATGGGCGCCGGGCTTGGGGGCGTGGACCCGGGCCGCTGCTTGGTGCCAGCGCATGCGTAAGCAGCCACAGGGTGGGAACATCTGCTTGGCGCCTGTGCCCGTAGGCCCGGAGTGGCCAGGGGCATTCTGGGACCCTGGCTGCTCAGGGCCTATGCGTGGGCCTACAGGCTAGGAGTGGCCTCTCAAGGATGTTCCCAGGACCCAGGCCACTCAGCACCTGCACATGCAAATTAACCTGCCATCTTTGTTGGGTTAATTTGCATACTCTCCAGATTGGCTAGTGAGCATAGTGGAAGGACAGTCAATTTACATGTTTCTCTTTTATTATATAGGATGTTTACTATTTTAAAATTAATTTATGTTTATATTGAATACCCACAAGGTAGAAGTTGCTTTTATATGCACTTAGGTTACAAAAAGTTATATAACAAATGTCTCTCAACTAAAATGTGGTTAAGGATATAAAATACATATACAGAAAATGCCAACTTGTACATGCTCTCTGCAAGTACTAGATAGTAATAATGGGTATAGAAACAAAGAGAAGAAAATGATCACCATGGAGCAAGGTGACTGAAGGCAAATTTCATAGAGGAAAGAAGCTGAGCTAAAACCCAGAAAAAGCTTGTGGGTTTCATCTCCTCTGCCCACTGGAATCAGGTATTAGTGGCTAACTGCAGCACCAAGCTGACCGGGACTATTGCACTTCCTGGTTCAGTGGAAAACAGAGATGTGACCAATCACTCAGCCATGGGTGAAGTAAGGCAGAGAGTATGCCACTCTTCAGACAGAACAGGACTTAAGACAACTATACTAGGGAGGTAATAACCAATATCTAGAATAGTCAGTGTACAAAAAACTGATAATTTTGACTAAAGAAGAGTGTTGACTGGGAAGGACAGTCACAGAAAAGAGATTAAAGAGGAAATAGGCATGTGAAGAATGAAATTTTATAGGTAATCTAACTCACCTATTTTCTTTTAACTTTATTTAAATCGGGGCTTGTTTCTGTGGTTAAAAGTAATATGTGTTGACTGAAGAGAATTTGGAATATATGACAAAATATGGAAGAAAATAAGTTAACAATTATACCATCCAAAGAAAACCACTATTTCACATATTTTATCCATAAATTTAAAACACACACATACCTTCTATAAAATGGTGTAATAGTGCATATGCTTTTAATCTTCCTTTTTTAATTAACATTATATCATGAGCCTATACACTAATCATTCATCTTTTACAACAGGATTTTTAATACCAGCAATTTATTCCATTAATTTGAATGAATGTACATAATTTCCTTAACTAATTTCTACTGGATATGCATATATTCCCTCTATTTTTCGTTACTAAAGTATTTGATAAAGTTCTTAATATGTAAATCTGTATGTCTCTGATAAATTAATACAAGCAGAATTGAGACTAGAACATAAAAATTACTTAAGGTTTATGAAAAAAATTGTTGCCAAATTATCTTTCAAAACTGTTCTACCAATTTCTACTTTCATTATCAAACATTTAGTGATAGTGATAGATATTACCCATGATTCCAAATATTTTCCAATTTGATAGAAAAGAATGTAATTGTTTATTTAATTTGCATTTTTGGTTATCATTGGGGGAAATTTTTTTCATATTTTATGATAACTTATATGTATGATTTTAATAACTCTGTTTCTAAGGAAACACTCTTTATTGTCTTATTAAGAACTTACATATTGTCCTAGCCAGTTTTTCTCAATGGTTAAAGTGTCGGCCTGCGGACTAGAGTCCTGGGTTAGATTCCTGGTCAAGGGCACGTACCTCAGTTGCAAGTTCCCCAGCCTGGGTAGGGGCGCATGTGGGAGACAATCAATGTGTCTCTCTCACATCACATTGATGTTTCTCTCTCTATTCCCTCTCCCGCCCCCATCTCCTTCTTCCCTTCCACTCTCTCTAGAAAGCAATGGAAAAATATATCCTTGGGTGAATACTGAAAAAAAAAACTTACATATTAAAGATATTAAAACCTAGTTTGTCACATTTTAGCCATTACTTCCTGGTTTGTTACTTGCTGTTCCCTTTTAAGTGGGTGGACATATAATAACTTGAAATTTTCATGTAGTTAAATCTATCAATTTTCCCCTTTAACGTTTTATGCCAAGAAAGGCTTACTCAACTCTTTTTAAATTTATTTTTATTAATTTCAGAGAGGGAGGGAGAGAATGACAAAAGCATCAATGATGAGAATCATCGATTGGCTGCCTCCTGTAAACCCCCTACTGGACATTGAGCCCACAACCCATGACGGGAATGTGCCCTGACCAGGAATCAAACCTTGACCTCCTGGTTCATGGGTCAATGCTCAACCATGAGAGCCACATGGGCTGGGCATGGGCTACTCAACTCTAGTCATTGATACTTCTTTTGGTTTTAGTTTTATATTTGACTATTTCCATATACAATTTATTTTGATATTAATATGAGGTATAGAGGTACTTAAATTTCTTTCCAAATAAAAAATTATCCAAATAATACCAGTAAAATACCCAAAATTTCATCAAACATTAAATGGCACCATTTATAATATTCATTAAATGATTTTACATATTGAAATTTATTACTAGGCTTTTTATTATATTTCAATTATCTGTCTTCACTAATGAAAGCAGTGTTTAATGAATTTATTTTTTAATTTTTTAAAATTGATTTTAGAGAGGGAGAAAGAGAGAGAAACATCAATGCAAGAGAGAAACATCAATCGGTTAACTTGCCTTCTGCAAACACCCTGACTGGGGATGGTACCCACAACCTGGGTATGTGCCCTGACTGGAAATTGAACAGGAACCTTTCAGTGCACAGAACGATGCTTAACCAAGTCACAGCAGCCAGGGCTGAACGCAGTGTTTTAGAAGGATTATTTTGTCAGTAACTGGTAAGATGCATTATGAGTAGGGTAGGATGCATGAGTTTTAACAAACAGATAGATAGCAAAGTCCAAGATTAAAATAGAAGCAATACCAAAAGAAAGGGTAACAAAATGACAAGAGATTGTAATATGAGTCTTTCTTTTGAAACTCTCATACATATGAGTGCTCTCAATACAAGATCCCGGAGATGGCAGGAATTATTAGAATTTTAACATTGGGTTAATTTTAACATTTCCCGACCCAATTAGAATTATGATAGTATCAAGGAGCATACAAGCCTTCAGACTTCCTAAAGAAATGAAAATGCCTAAAATTCAATTATAATATAAATTTGTCTTACCAGTAAGGGGTGCCAATGAAAGATTTTCTCTTTGCAATGGTAGCTGTTATTTTTGCAGCTACACCAAAGTCAGCTGGTGGGGGGAAAAATAAACCAGAAAATTTTAGTTCTTTTCAATAAAAGCATTAACATTTCTAAGTTTCATCCTTAGGCTTGACATTATTAATAATTCAGGTAGTAATGCTAGGGAAATATATAAAAATTGAATACCTAAATTCCTTCTTGCTTGATTTATAACACACCCATTAAAAGAAAATAATTTACTGGTGTTTTACTAGAATGAAAATGTACATTACTAAGGACAAAGTTAATAAAAATATTTTTATGACAAGCACATTAAAGTTAATTTGAGCCCGACCAGTGTGGCTCAGTGGTTGAGCATTGACCCATGAACCAGGAAGCCACGGCTTGATTCCAAGTCAGGGCACATGCTGGGGGTTGAGGACTTGATCCTCAGTAGGGGTGTGCAAGATACAGCCCATTGATGATTCTCTCTCATCACTGGTGTTTTTATCTCTCTCCCTGTCCCTTCATCTCTCTGAAATCAATAAGAACATATATTTTTTTAAGTTAATTTGAAAAATATAGCAAAAAAATAAAAGACCCACCTGAATTCCTTTTATTCTAACACAACCAGGTTAGTATTTTGGTGCTATTATTTAAAAAAATGTTTTTTGAGTGTACCCTGGTGGGAGGGAAGTTGGTAAGCTTTGGCCAAGCAAAAAAGTTCTTTTTCTATGTATAAACTTTGTTATTGTTGTTGCTAAACATGGTTGTAAAAAACTAAATACAAATATAGTTCACTTTTGTCATGTAACAGATCACGGGATTACTCTTACTCTTACTCTTCTTAATTATTAATTTGTTTTAAATCCTCACCCAAGGATATGCTCTTATTGATTTTAGAGAGAGAGGAAGGGAGAGAGAAACATCAATTGATCACCTCCTGTACACGCCCTGACAGGGTTGGAACCCGCAACTTTCCGGTGCACAGGTTGACGCTCCAACCAACTAAGCCACCTGGCCAAGATGACTGACTGAATAATGTTTCTTAAGTGGATTTATCACAACTTAACAGTTTTTCTATTGCTAAAACTATGTTCTTATTTTCTTCTATTACATATAATATTATGATTAACACTTCTGTGAATATGGATTTTTTTTTATCTTTAGAATTAATCTCCTTAAACTGAGTCTCAGGAGTAAAATTGCAGTTACAATGAACATGGTTCTTGGCATGATTATTAAACTTGTCTAATGTTAAATTTAAAATTTATTAAAATTTTGGAAAAATGTTAGAAACTTGAAATAACATACCTAATTTTACATCACCATGATCTGTCAATAAAATATTTGCACCCTAAAACAAAAATACAAATACTATTTAATTAGTATCATAAAATTCATTCCAATAAAATTATCAATTTAAACATATTAAATATACTTACTTTGATATCTCTATGCATTTTGCCTTTAGTATGCAAATAGGCAAGACCCTAAAATTAAAAAAATAAAACGTGGCATTAGCAAAATTGCAAACTGATACCTAAACTTCCTGCTTGAATTCTTACTGAATAAGAAAAACGAAAATGTCTTTCTGGTGGCAAAAACCCCCCGATGAGTTTCTAACTGTGAGAGGGCACAGGCAGGGCCGAGGGGACCCCTCACACACCCGTGCACAACATTCTAGTAATAATAAAAACATAAAAATGATTGCTCATGATTTCATACTTGTTATTTTTACTAGTCAATGTTTACTATAAGATTTCAAATTCATTTCTGATAAAAAATCAGAAATATTTTACTACTAGAGGCCTGGTGCACGTTGTGCACTCGGGGGATGTCTGACTGACGGCTTAAGGCTTATGCCGTCAGTCAGACATCCTTAGCGCTGCCGTGGAGGCAGGAGAGGCTCCTGCCACTGCTGCTGTGCTCGCCAGCAGTGAGCCCTGCTTCTGGCTGAGTGGCGCTCCCCCTGTGGGAGTGCACTGACCACCAGGGGGCAGCTCCTGCATTGAGCATCTGCCCCCTGGTGGTCAGTGCACATCATAGTAACTGGTTGTTCTGCCACTCAGTTTATTTGCATATCAGCCTTTTATTATATACTAGTGGCCCAGTGCATGAAATTCATGCGGGGGGCGGGGGGGTCCCTCAGCCCAACCTGCACCCTCTCTAATCTAGGATCCCTCAGGGGATGTCCAACTGCCCGTTTAGTCTTGATTCCACCGGCAGTCGGACATCCCTCTCACAATCCAGGACCTCTGGCTCCTAACCGCTCACCTATCTGCCTGCCTGATCACCCCTAACCACTCTGCCTGCCAGCCTGCTTGCCCCCAACTGCCCCCCCATCAGCCTGCACACCCCCAACAGCCCCTACTGCCGGCCTGCTCATCCCCAACTGCCCCCCATTGCTGACCTGTTCTCCTCAACTGCCCTCCCCTGCTGGCCTCATGACCCCCAACTGTCCTACCCTGTCAGCTTCATGGCTCCCAACTGCCCTTCACGGCTAGCCTCATGGCCCCCAACTTCCCTCCCCAGCTGGCCTCATGGCCCCTAACTGTCCTCCCAGGCCGGCCTTCTCACCCCCAACTGCCCCCCCCCCCGGCCTTCTCACCCCCAACTGCCCCTCACTGCCGGCCTGTTCGCCCCCAACTTCCCTCCCCTCCTGACCTGATCACCCCTAACCCCCCTCTGCCTCGGCCTCACCACCATGGCTTTGTCTGGAAGGACATCCAGAAGGCCTCCCAGTCTAATTAGCATATTACCCTTTTATTAGTATAGACTAGAGGCCCGGTGCATGAAATTCATGCACTCAGGGGTCCCTCAGCCTGGCCTGCACCCTCTCGCAGTCCAGGAGCCCTCGGGGGATGTCCTTAGTGCAGCCACAGAGGTGGGAGAGGTTCCTGCCACTGCCACTTTGCTCACCAGCCATGAGCCCAGCTTCTGGGTGAGTGACACTCCCTCTGTGGGAGCATACTGATCACCAAGGAGCAGCTCCTGCCTTGAGCATCTTTTCCCTGGTGGTCAGTGCGTATCATAGTGACCAGTCATTCTGCCGTTGGCCAATTTGTATATTAGCCTTTTATTATATAGGATTATATAGGATTTTTTGTTGTTATTAATCCTCACCTGAGGATATTTTTCCATTGATTTTTAGGGAGAGTGGAAGAGAGAGGGAAAGAGAGAGAAACATTGATGTGGAAAAAACACATCGATTGGTTGCCTCCTGCACTAGCCCTGACCAAGGTCTGAGCTGGGGAGAAGCCTGCAATCAGGATTCCCTTGACCGGAATCAAACCTGGGACCCTTTGGTCCACGGCTGACGCTCTATCTACTGAGCCAAACCAGCTAGGGCTCATGGTCAATCTTGTTTCATTCTGACCCTCACATACCACACACTCCCCCTCCACCACCATATTATTCTGAAGTCTCAGATTTCATATTTCATCGACTAAGACAGTGACTTTAAAAAAACATACATAACCACAATGATATTATTATACCCTCATAATGAACAATTATTTAATACTATCAAATATCCAGTATTCACAATTTAAAGTGGGATTCAAACAAGGTTTGTACACTACACTTTGTTGAAATGACTCCTACTTCTCTTTTAATCTATAGAATCCTGTGCCTTATCTTATTACTGTTACCTTGTAAGTTTTCGTTAAAGTGCTGTTTATCATGTGCAGTCTCTCAGGATTTGGATTTTGCTAATTACATCCTAATGATGTTGTTTTACATGTTTCTCTGACCCCTGTATTACCACTAAATTAGCACTTATATCTAGGGTCTTGATGAGAATCAAGACTGAATTATTTTGGTAAAATTACTTCATGGGTGGTGCTATATTAGTCAGAGTTTAGTCAGGAGACAAAAAAAAACCACGTAAGTTATTTGAACTATAGAACTAAAAAGGAACAATGAGAGCCAACAAATATTACAGCATCAGCAACTGCAGGAAGCTGCTACCAAAACTCTAGGACCTGGGGGAGCAGAGTAGAGAAGAGGCTGGAATTATTCAAACTTACAAGCCTGGACCAAGAGTCTTGTAGAACTGAAATTGAGATATCTGAGAAGGTGCTAATGTCCACTAGAAATTACACAATGTCTGGCTGTCTTTTAGTGATATTAACAGCCACTGATACTGATCTGATTTCTGTCATAATAGATCATTTATGAATTTTCTAGAATTTATGTAAAATAAATCCTTCAGCATATTCTTTTTTGTCTGGCTCTTTCACAATAATATGACATTCCTTGTAATGTATATATCAATACTTCATTCTTCTTTATTACTGAGTAGTAGTCCATTATACAGATATACCAAAATTTGTTTATCCATTTACCTATTGACAGACATTTGGGTTGTTTCCTGGTTTTGGCTATCTATAATAATATAAGCATAATATGCTAATTAGACTGGACAATCTTCCAAATGAGGGAAGCCCGGGTTCTGGGTGCCAGAGGGAAGCCCGGGTTCTGGGTGCCAGAGGGAAGCCAGTGCCGGCAGCCGGGGGAAGGAAGGCCTACTTTTGCATGAATTTTGTGCATCAGGCCTACAGTTATAAATAAATCTGCTGTGAAGATTCATGCACAGTTGTTGCATGATTTTTTCCCTCATGGGTAAATACCTAGCAGTGTTAACAACTGGATCATACAGTGGTACAAGTTAAACTTCTGGTGAATGCCAAACTGTCTTTCAAAGCAGCTGTACAATTTTACATTGAAACCAGAAGTGCATGAGAAGTGCATGAGAGTTCCCGTTAATCCACATCCTCACCAACCTTCCTAAGTCAGTTTTTTTATTTTTTATTTTAGCCATTCTAATTGGTGTGTAGTGCTATTTCACTGTGGCTTTAATGCACACTTTTTTTTAATAACTAATGATATTGAGCATCTTTTTCATCCATATATCTTCTTTGGTGAAGTGTCTGGTTAAGTCTTTTGCCCATTTGCCTATTGGGTTGTTGTTTTCTTATTGAGTTTTGAGAGTTCTTTATATACTGTGGATATAAGTCCCTGGTCAGGTATATTATTTGCAAATTTCTACTATTAGTATTGTCCTTTTATTCTCTTAACAGTGCCTCTTGAAGAAGAGAGTTTTAGTTTTGATGAAGTATAATTTAGCAAGTTTTTATTTTATGGATCATGCTTTTCCTGTTATGTCTGAAAAGGCTTTGCTTAACTCAACATTGCAAAATTTTCTCCTCTGTCGTGGTATTTGAGTCAACACATCTGTCTCAGCCTGCATTTGTGTTTATTCAATTCACAGGATTTTAAGGATATGTATAAGCATATTTGTTTAACCTTTATTTCTAAATGTCAACTACAAAGATAAAAGTTCAACAGTATTCAGGTAAGTACTTTCTTACTTTTCTTAAATCCAATCTTATTCATTACAAATAGGTACAAGCATCTGCCTGTCTTATTATATCTTCTATTTTGTGCCTGAGCATTTATTTATTAAAGTACAAATTAATTCATTATAAAATATTTTTTCCTTTCACTTCTAGAATTTCTAGTGTATAGAAATCCAAGTGATTTTGTATATTGATCTTGAATCCTGCAACCTTTCTAGCTATACTTATTAGCTCTAGTAGCTACTTTGTAGATTCAATTCCATTTTCTACATAGATAATTTTACAGTGAATAAAAACAGTTTTACTTCTTACTTTCTAATATGGATGCATTTAATTTCATTGTTTTTTCTTTTTGCAATGGCCAAAATCTCTAGCACAATGTTGAAAAGAAGTTGTGAAAACAGACACATTGCCTGGATTGACCTTGGTGTAAAAGCATCTAATCTTTACCATTCAGAATGACACAGTTGTAGGTTTTTCATAGCTGCTCTTTATCAAGTTAAACAAGTTCCATTCTATTCCCAGTATACTGAGAATTTTTATCACAAATGAATGTTGGATTTTGCTAAATGCTTTTTCTGTGTCTAGACAATCATGTGATTTTTCTTTTTGTTTGCTAATATGGACAATTACTTGAAATGATTTTTGAATGTTAAAACAACATTGCATTCTAGGATACTGCCCTCCACCCCGCCTTATTCACGATGTATTATCCTTTTTATATACATGAACTGCCTTTGTTAATATTTTATATTCCTTTTTAATTTCTGCATCTATGTTTATGAAGGACTAGAGGCCCAGTGCACGAAATTGTGCGGGTAGGGTCTAGGCCAGGGGTGGGCAAACTTTTTGACTCGAGGGCCACAATGGGTTCTTAAACTGGACCAGAGGGCCGGAACAAAAGCATGGATAGAGTGTTTGTGTGAACTAATATAAATTCAAAGTAAACATCATTACATAAAAGGGTATGGTCTTTTTTTTTTTTAGTTTTATTCATTTCAAACAGGCCGGATCTGGCCCGCGGGCGGTAGTTTGCACACGGCTGGTCTAGGCATAGCCTGTAATCAGGGCCATCTTCTGCCCATTTGCCAGTCCCCAGGCCCAACGACCCATCGGCTGCTGGAGCAGGT